TGGCTAAATGGATGGGTGGGTGGATGGATGGATGGATGGATGGATGGATGGATGGATGGATGGAAGAATGGGTGGCTGGCTAAATGGATGGATGAATAAATGGCTGTGTGAATGGGCGGATGGGTGGATGGATGGATGGGCATCTACATGAAACTTTGGACAGATGGATAGAAGGGTGGATAGATGGATGAAAGATGAAAGGGATGGATAGATGGAGAAAAAAGAAGCCAACTTTTCCAAAAGGAGCTTCTTTTGTAGACACTCTACTATCCAAGCTCCAACGAAACAATTTATTACCAAATCATGGTAGTGCCAATAGTAGCGGGAAGGGTGCCGACTGAGGGGGCTGGCTCACCCCCGACCATGAGCTGGGGGTCTTCTCTGTCCACAACCCCAGAGGCTGGTAGGTGACGATGGCTGAAAGGATGAGACAATCGAAAGGAGGAATTCACATTATCTGGAGCCTAACTGCTGGGTTCCCTGATGCTAATCAAGACTGATTCATAGTGATGCTTAAAGAAGCAGCAGGCATGCACAGTCAAGGGATCTTTCTAGAAGCATATCTCTGATACTACAGCAGGCCTTGAGTCACATTTCTTGTTTGGGTTTTTTTCTATTTCAAACCATGAGTTGAAAGATCTGGAAGACAATAAAAATGGCTTGTTAGTGTCCTAGTCATTTAAGGAGCACCTTCTACGGGCACTTTCTAGAGACTGGCAATACTACCACGAACAAGACTTTTGTTGGATTTATGATTTGGGAGAGTGGGTAAAGTTGTTACAAATTAACTTCCCTCAAGAAGGGGACAGTGCTGTGCAGAAAACAGGTGAGGTGGTGATAGCGGGTGGGGAAGTGCCTCACTGGGGCAGTGAGGGAAGGCCCAGGTCTGAGCTCCTAGGATGAGAAGGAACCAGTCATTGAAAAATGAAGCGGGGTGGGGAACACCTGGGTGGCTCAATCGGTTAAGTGTCCGACTTCGGCTCAGGCCATGATCTCATGGTTTGTGAGTTCAAGCCCCATGTCGGGCTTTGCGCTGATGGTGCAGAGCCTGCTTCGGATTCTCTGTCTCCCTGCCCCTCTGCCCCCCAAAATAAACATTAAAGACGAAGGGAAAGCGTGTTCCAGACTGTGAGAATGGCAAGTACAAAGGTCCTGAGGTGGGAATCAAGCTTGGCCTGGTTTAGAATGTGAGGGGAGGACAGTGTGGCTGGCACAGAGTGGACTTGGGGGGTCAACCACGCAGGCCAAGGCAAGGAGCTGCCATAAAGCCAGAGGTGAGATGATCTTCAAATTATTCCAAGGTCACCAGGCTCTTTGATTAGCGTCCCCTTATTGAGTCCCTAAGTAAGGGACAAACCTGCTACTTACTCCGTTTCAGACCCAAAACATGATGACCCCGGAAGGGGCTGTTGGGTTTCCAGTTTTTGTGGGTTTTTTTTTTGATGTTTCATTTATTTTTGAGAGACAGAGAGAGAGAGAGACAGAGAGAGAGAGAGAGAGAGAGAGAGAGTGCAAGTGGGGGAGGGGCAGAGAGAGAGGGAGACCCAGAATCCGAAGCGGGCTCCAGGCTCTGAGCTGCGAGCACACAGCCCAACGCCGGAGACCGGCAACCGCCTGGAGGGACAGGGTGGGTGGGCGAGGGGTGCGGGAGGGTAGAGGGGCCACGGGGACAGCTAGGGGTATGGCGCATCTGTGTAATGAGCTGGAGTGACAGGCAGTGGGCAAGCTCCACGGGTGGTCAAGGTCATGCCTTTGCTTTCGCAGGGACTCTATGGTGGGGGCCGGCTGTGCCTCGTGGGGTGCTGCGTGGTGCCCCCAGCCTCTACCCACTCGATGCTGGGGGCACCCTTTCCCCAGTTGTGACAACCAAAAGTGTCCCCAGATACCCCCTACGGGCAACATGGCCTCCCTCTGAGGACCGCTGACTTAGACACACACTGAACTTTGATTTCGGGCAGCCACGAAGACAGACGTTACAGCTCCCCGGACAGGGCACGGCCTCGGGGAAGCCTCTCTTCAGAACACGTCCATACGGCCTCGCCAGAATTAACTGTCGGGTGAACTTAGTTTCATTTTGACCTTCCCTGAAGTTCTGTGCACTCCCACCCAGGGCTAATGGGAGTGTAGACAGGTACAGCCCCGCTAGAGAGGATCCAGTTCTCGCAAAAGAAGAACCCCATGCACAGACACGCGTGCACACCCTAGCGAGGCCTGTGCACGCAGGTGTTCAAGGCAACGTGGCTTGTAAAACAGAAACCAAGCAAATGCCAGCCACTGGTCATAAAGAGTATCCTTCTGGGGCGCCTGGGTGACTCGGTTGGTTGAACGTCTGACTCTTGATTTTGGCTCAGGTCATGATCTCACGGTTCATGAGTTTGAGCCCCAAGTTGGGCTCTGTGCTGACAGCACGGAACCTGCTTGGGATTCTTTCTCTCTCTCCCTGCCCCTCCCCCACTTATTCTCTCTCTCTCACTCTCAAAATAAATAAATAAACTTAAAAAAAAAAAAAAAAGAGTATCCTTGCAATCCACAACGGAATACAGTGCCTCCATAAACAAGGTCATGGGTGTTCTGTGCTGACACAGAAGGGCCGTGAGACAGACCGAGAAGCGCAGGGCAAAGTGCATCACTGGGAACAGAACCAGCGAGGTTTGTGATGGGGGCGGGGGGGGGGGGCAGGTGGTGCCAACCCACAGGACAGCGGAGGCTACAGGTGGATGGAGAGAGGGATAGAGAAACAGAGGGATGAAGAAAGAGACAGAAAGATGGAGAGATGAGGACGTGTTGGCTCTGTTTTCCCGGCCTTGAATCCAGTCATGCCTACAGCTTCCCCCTTGGAATTTTCTAGCCACAAGAGCCAACCAATTGGCCCTTTTCCTTCGAGCCAATTTGAGCCAGGTTTCTGCTATGTGCGATTCCCCGAGGGCTGGATGGTTCAAGAACCCTGTGGAAAAATCCAGCATCTAACTGGGAGGTCGGCCCTGATGGAAACCTTAAATGGCATCTGGGAAGCAGGGCTGGCGGAGGTAAGGGAGGGGGAAGACTCACAAACTGCTCCTACCGGAACCCACCTATGGTATCATCTGGAGGTCCAGGGGGTCGTAGGCTGACAGCCGCAGATCCTGCAGTAGGGCTTCTAGATTGTTCCTCAGCATGGTGTAGGGCGGCTTCTCGTCATACTTCAGGGCCATCACCACCTTCAGGTACTCCTGCAGGGTCTCTGCGGTCAAGACACCCCCCACCATAGGAGAGACCTGAGAGGGGCCTCCAACTCAGAGCCGGGGGGGCTGTGCCCAGTCTCCACCACGGTGCCCATTTGCTCAGTGCTTCCTCTGTGCCTGCAACTGCCTTAGGCACTTAGATTAAAAAAGATTTTTTTGGGGGGGGGAGGGGCGCCTGGGTGGCTCAGTCAGTTGGGCATCCACTTCGGCTCAGGTCATGACAGCTCAGAGCCTGCAGCCTGCGTCGGATTCTGTGTCTCCCTCTGTCTCTTCCCCTCCCCTGCTTGTGCTCTCTCTCCCTCAAAAATAAATAAAAACATAAAATTTTTTTTTTTTAAATGAGCCCTTACAGAGCTGGAGGGGACAAGTTATCCATTTCTTTCGGCCTCATGTTTAATTATTTTTTTTTAACGTTTATTTATTTTTGAGACAGAGAGAGACAGAGCATGAACGGGGGAGGATCAGAGATAGAGGGAGACACAGAATCTGAAACAGGCTCCAGGCTCTGAGCTGTCAGCACAGAGCCTGACACGGGGCTCGAACCCACGAACCATGAGATCATGACCTGAGCCGAAGTCAGCGCTTAACCGACTGAGCCACCCAGGCGCCCCTCGGCCTCATGTTCAGAGAGCAATGCAGAAGTTCTACAGAAGCGACACTAGGAAAAAAAAGAAAAACAAAGACACAGCCTAAAACTCCAGTAATGGGGACTGGCCATGAAAATGATGGTGTAGGGGCGACTGGCTGGCTCAGTGGGTTGAGAGTCAGACTCTGGATTTTGGCTCAGGTCTTGATCCCAGCCAGAGTCTTGGGATTGAGCCCTGTGTTGGGCTTTGCACTGGGCACGGAGCCTACTTAAGGTTCTCTCTCCCTGTCCCTCTGCCCCTCTCCCCTACTGGCGTGCTCTTTCTCTCTCTCTCAAAATAAAAAAATTAAAAAATAAAAATAAAAAACAAAAAACAAAACGAGGTTGTAGTGGATCTAGGAATAAGAACACAAAAGCCAATGTTAATTAATGAAAAAAACAAGATGTTGGGGACGTGGGAGGCTTGGTTCATTAAGCTTCTGACTCTTGGTTTTGGCTCAGGTCACGATCTCATCGTTCGTGGGATCGAGCCCCATGTCGTGCTCTGCACTGACAGCATGGGGCCTGCTTGGGATTTTCTCTCTCTCTTTCTCTCTCAGAACAAATAAATAAACTTAAAAAAATGCAAATTGACCAAAATGTACGTAAGGCAAGCTTATTTTCATTTTGTACGTGTCCCTCTGCCATGTCTGCCGCCTCTCCCATCCTGAAGTGGAGATACCTGGCCACCCGCTGAGTCTGGGTTGGCCTTGGGATTTGTTTGAATGTGGCCGAGTGCTGTCCAGGGACCCCCATGCTTTGTAGCTTCCGTCCCTGCCCTCTTGGAAAGCTGCCTGAACAGTGCCTCGGGAAGCAGCCCGGAGCTGAGGCCTCCCAGCGTCAGCGCCAATCGCCAGACAGGAGAGAGGTGCACTTGAACGAGCCCGCCCCAGTCCAGCCGCCGGCTGGCAGCAGCAACGTGAATTCCCCTCCCCTGCTCCCCCATAAGATCGGGAGAAGGTTCACCCGGCTGAACCCGGCCCACACTCCAATCCTTAACAAATTTTCATAGAGAAATACAATACTGTGTGTGTGGTTGTGTATGTGAGTGTGTGTTGTTATTCTTATTCGGAGATGCTTCTGAATTTTGGGGGGATGGTTTTTTGTTTTTCTAGAACAGGCACGTATGCACACGCAGCTTGGAAAACTCAAAGAAAGAAAGGTGTGTGAGGGGGCAAGAGCCGGATGGACCCAGGTCACCTGGTCCCGCCATGGCCCCCAACTGTTCCTTCCCTCTTAGGACATACCTGAGGGACTGATCCAGCGACTGCACTGTCCCACGAGGGCCTCCGGGTTGTCAAGAAACCTGACAGGACAGAGATGTATGCAAGAGGTCTTTTAGGGAGGCGAGAGCAAACTTTTTTTTTTTTTTAAGTTTATTTATTTATTTTGAGAGAGAGAAGAAGGAGTGGGGGAGGGGCAGAGAGAGGGAGAGAGAATCCCAGGCAGGCTCTGTGATGTCAGCGCAGAGGCCCCATGCGGGCCTCGAACTCACAGACCACGACATCATGATCTGAGCTGAGATCGAGAGTCGGATGCTTCACTGACTGAGCCACCTGGGCTCCCCAGGAGAGCCAATTTTTAAAACAGAAAGTCTAGGGGCACCTGGGTGGCTCAGTCAGTTAAGCGTCCAACCCCAGATTTTGGCTCAGGTCATGACCTTGTGGTTTGTGAGTTCAAGCCCCACACCGGGCTCCATGCTGGCATCATGGAGCCTGCTTGGGATTCTCTCTCTCTCTCTCTCTCTCTCTCTCTCTCTCTCTCTCTCTGCCCCTCCCCAGCTCACTCTCTCTCTAAGTAAATAAACTTTAAAAAAATAAAAAATAAGTAAAACACAATGTCTACTAGATGTACAGTAGACTCTTGTTAATTGTGGTAGTTGTGCCCTGTAGCGTGGCCTCAAATACGGAATTAGTGAATTCTAAACCATGCTTCTAGGGGAAACGTAGTATCACGTTCCTGCAAGGTTCTGGTTACAACGTTTTTATAAACTGATCACTACTTAATTTTGTCTTAGGTGTGTTTGTGCTTAAAGATACTATGTTTGGGGCACCTGGGTGGCTCAGTCGGTTAAGCATCCAACTTCAGCTCAGGTCACGATCTCACAGTTGGTGGGTTTGAGCCCCGCGTTGGGCTCTGTGCTGACAGCTCAGAGCTTGGAGCCTGCTTGGGATTTTGTGTCTCCCTCTCTCTCTGCCCCTCCCCTGCTCGTGCTCTGTCTCTCTCTCTCTCAAAGGCAAATAAACATTAAAAAAACCTTTTTTTAAAAAAAAGATAGCATGTTTACTATAATGTTTACTTAACCACATTGAGCTCACAGCCAACTATTTTCTCTGTAAGGCACATCCCAGCCTTCTTGCACCTAGGAACACTAGACAGCTCTTTAGCACCATGCATGGGGCCATTTTTTTTTTTTTTTTTTTTTTTTGGAGAGAGAAAAACAAGAGTACAAACAGGGGAGGGGCAGAGAGAGAGGGAGACACAGAATTCAAAGAAGGCTCCAGGCTTTGGGCTGTCAGCACAGAGCCCGATGCAGGGCTTGAACTCATGAACTGCAAGATCATGACCCGAACAGAAGTCAGACGCTTAGCCACCATTTTAAACTGCAAAAGCGTAGGGGGCGCCTGGGTGGCTCGGTCTGTTGAGCATCCAACTTCGGCTCAGGTCATGATCTCACAGTTTGTGAGTTCAAGCCCCGCATCAGGCTGGCTGCTGTCAGCACAGAGCCTGCTTCGGATCCTCTGTCCCTCTCTCTCTCTGCCTCTCCCCCGGCTTGCACTCTCTCTCAAAAATGATTAAACCTTAAAAAAAGTAATAGCAAAATCATCAACAAGAACATCTGAAAAATGGGCGTTAAACAGACTCCATGAAGGATCCCTGTTTATCCTGAGATCTGAAATGAGAAGGCAGAGCATCACCTCGTTTGAACTCAGCTGGGCCTGTGTGCATCAGACAACTCAAAATTGTCTCCACTCTGTGTGTGTCTGAGGAGGCCTGGGAAGCACTGTGAGTGCTGATTCTGGGGTGACACATGCATTTTAGTGAGCAGGTAAATTCACAAATATGGAATCTGTGACTAACGAGGACTACCTTTCTTTCTATAAACGCACACGTGTACTTGTAAACACACACACACACACACACACACACACACACACACACATCCTCTTGGACTACTCAAGAAAAACAAATTCATCCAATTCCAGGGTGCCTGGGTGGCTTAGTCGGGTAAGCATCTGACTCCTGGTTTAGGCTCAGGTCAGGATCTCAGTTTGTGAGATCGAGCCCTGTGTCGGGCTCTGTTTGATTCTCTCTCTGCCCCTCTCCTGCTTGTGTGCGCATGCACTCCTGCTCTCCCCAAATAAGTAAATACGCATTTAAAAAAAAAAAAAAAAAAAAGAAAGAAATTCATCTGCCTTCTCTGCTCCATTCTCACTTGGAATCTCCACTATCCGCCCGGTGCCTGGGGGCGCTGTCCTTGCCTCCCCCAACCGCAGGCCAAAGTCCCCAAGCTCCACCCTCTTGCTCCCCAACCCTCTCTGTCCCATCCCCTTTCTGGTCCAGCTCAGGCCTTATCCTACCTCCTTGGACCTCAGCTTCCGCCCCAGCTTCCTGCACATTCCCCACATGGCCCTACAGAGTTTCTCTGCCCGGAACGGACTCTGTCCCTTCCTACTCACAGCCCTCAGGGGACTCCCCAGGGCCCTGGGGGAAAACCCCTGGCACACGAGGCTGCCAGCCCCTGTGGCCTTGTCTCTCTGGCTTCCTTCCTCCCTCCCATCTCACACGCCAGCAGCACCAAATGCCTTCTACTCCCCTAACTAGGTCAAGCATCCGTGCCCATCTCCTGGCCTCAGCATGTTGCTTCCTCTGCCCTGGACAGCTTTCTCCTAGCTTGACCCCTGGCCGTGGCTGCTCTCCCTTCAGGACACTGCTTGAGGGCTGGTCTCCTGGAAGTCTCCCATGACCCCTCCAGGCAGAGAAAACAGATCCCGCCCGATGGCCTGTGTGCTCTGTGCATAGTCCACGGACGCCCCAAGGCACTGTCAGGACACAGGAAGGGCTGGGTCTGACCTTCGTGTCTCCTGGCATCCTCAGGACGTGTGTGGCGAATGGCTGAGTGATGGCACCAAAGTCTGTGCCCCTAGGATGTTGTAAATTGTATAAGCGACTCTACCACTGGCTGTCGGTGTCCGTGGGACGTTCTTGCCCAGACAGCACCCTTAAGAGCAGGGAACGAATTCGACCAGCACCTGTGCTTTCCCAGAAAGGGACTTGCACACCAGAAAGCCTTGAGGAATCAAAACGTCTCTTTTTCTTTCCCTCATTCATTCCATCCTCAACCAGAATGTACAAAAACTGAATAAATGTTGAACGAACGGAAAAAGGTTGTGCACACCAGTAGGGCGCCCTAGAGGCCGTCAGGTTCCAAAAATGTGCATGTGGCAACATCGCCCTCTCGTGGTCCTTTTTGTCACTGCCTCGAATCACGGGACAGGGGCTGGGTGGAGCGTCTATAATGAGCACATCACCACCATCACCACCCCCTGCTGAGATTCTTGATGTTTCAGACCTTCTTCCCTCTGTGGTTGTGGTCAGGCTCCGGGGCTCGGGAATGAACTCATACTTAAATCAGGGATGTTAAAATTATTACTAGGACCTATTTTATTTAAAAATGTTTATTTATTTTGAGAACAAGAGAGTGTGCATGAGCACACGAGCAGGGGAGGAACAGAGACAGACATGGAGAGAGAGAATCCCAAGTTTGCAGAGCCCGACACGGGGCTCGCTCCCATGAACTGTGAGATTGTGACCCGAGCCGAAATCAAGAGTCAGATGCTCAACCAACTGAGCCATCCAGGCGCCCCTTGGACCTATTTTCTTTACTCTGGACCAATTTGGCAAGTGCACAGCCTTCTAGAGAAGCATATCCCATTCACTGATTATCTCTTGTGAAGGGGAAGGTGGCAGAGATGTGAAAAGGGGGATAGGGCTGTTCTGGGGAGTTAGAGGAAGTAGTGGATTCGGAGAATCCAGAGGATTCGACCCAGTGGAGCCTCAATGGGTGATTTCACTGGCGACAGGCAGTGCCCTCAGCTGATTCACATCTGGGTCTCCAGCATTTCCCTGGCACAAAAATGCCGCCAGGAGACAGGTTCTAAATGAATGAATAGGTCATGTATGAGCTCTCCTATCTGTCGAGAAATCTCGCCTCCCCTTGCCTGCCTGGGAAAGCCCTCTGCTCTGTACAGACTGAGTCAGGAATCTTTTGGGTAAAGGCACCCAGTGGCCTGAGGCCGGGTAACGTGCCTCCCCTCTGCTCCCACAATGCTCCCGGGGCTGCCTCCACCTCCTTCCTGCCCGTGTCTCCTCCCAGCCTGGGAATCCCCCCACGGCTGGGACCGCGTCTGCCTGACCTGTCTGTCCACGCTGAAGCCCAGGCCTGTGAATGAAGGTTCACGCGTTCTTTCCTTATTCGTTCATTCCACAACTGTTTCATGAGTGCCCACGATGCATCAGGGGCCATTCTGTGAGCAACACGGTGACAAAGAGAGCTGGTGTGGCCCCTGCCCTCACAGAAATGGGACTAAAGGTGGCACCGTGGAAGAGTCTCCGGCTGCCGTCCACTGCCCCTTCTCCCCTTCAAGGGCAGGACCCCAAGGGTCAGCAGGCCTAGGCTACAGACATTTTCCAGCCCCCACTGCAGCTTGGGTGGCTATGCGACCAAGGGATGCATGCCACTCCCAGGCCTGCCCTGTAAGAGCAGCGAGAGACGGTGACCAGCAGAGTTAGCGCCAGAAAAGGATATGTGGGTGTTGAAGGGCGCCAAGGTGCCGTTACTGAGAGGGAAGTAATCTTCCTCGTCCGAACCATCGTGTTTTGGGATCTCCTGGTAAGAGCAGCTCAGCCTTATCTTTAACATGACGGAAACGCACAAAGGAGCTGTTCACAGGCCTCAGGCACACGTAACGCCTTGGCAGTTGGGCTGTATGCTCCTACTAGCCGTGTTCCTAAATTCTGCGACTCGTTTTCCCTTGGCTTCATTTCAAGAATGGAAAGCTACTAGAAAACTAGAGAGTAAGGGCAAAAATACACTCCAAGAAAATAGGGCAAGGGGCTCATGTTCTGGAGGGTTCTGAGACTGCCTTCTGATGCAGAGATTGCCTGTGAAAGCCTGGGAGCCAGGGGTCTTTCTTTCCCTGTCTCTCCCTCCTCCTGCAGAGACGTCAAGGGCACATAAGCGCCCTTATATGCCAAAATGAGACATCCTCCTTGCCTCACTACCCTTCCGGAGGCGACTCACCTGTTACCACTGTCATGAGACCTGCCTGGCCATTAAATCTAAAGGAGCAGTGAGTGCCCACAGCCACACTCAGGGCTCCAACCTGATGGCCCCAACCAGTCTGGCCTGTGACATGCTGTGTGCTTTACTCATTTATCTCTTTACTGTTTTGTCTCCCCCACTAGGGTGTGAGTTCCCTGAAGGCAGGGATGTTTGGCTCAGTTATTCCTGTATCCCCAGGGACTAGAGCAGAGTGTGGTGCCTAGACGGTGCTCAGTAAGTCTCTGTTCAGGGGCACCTGGGTGACTCAATCGGTTGAGTGTCCAACTTCGGCTCAGGTTATGATCTCACAGTTCGTGGGTTCAATCTCTGCATTGCGTTCTGTGCTCTCAGTGCGGAGCCTGCTTCAGTTCCTGTCTCCCTCCCTCTCTGCCCCTCCCTCACTTGCTCTCTCTCTCAAAAAGAAATAGACATTAATTATGTGCCAACATTCCATCCTCCCACATGGCTTTGAGGTGAAAGAAACTTCTCTGGAGTCGAATGGCCTGGGTGTGAGTCTAAGCACCTCTACTTAGTAGCTGTGTGACCAGGACTGATTACCTAAGCTCTCTGTGTCTCAATCATTAGACAGCTTACCTCAGAGTTGTTCTGAGGATGACACAGGGAAACAATGGGTGCAGAGCCTGGCACAGACAAGTGTTATGATAAATGTTCGCCTCGAATAGAGGTCATCAGGTAGGAGCGGGCCAACGTGACAGGGGCAGATCCCTTCCTCTGAGCATGCACAAGCAGGAAGCCTGATGCAGTGGGGGTGAGAGAAGCCCCCCACCCCCGGGGGGGAGTGTTTAAGTAGAAACCTGAGGGAATATAAGATTCAGGGCACGGTACCATTTGTGCCAATTAAATGCACACCCAACAGTGACATCACGTATTTTTCAAGGATACATATACATCCAGACAAATTCACGAGTAGTATTTGGAGGCAGTGAATTAGCAACGTAGCTCAAGTTAAAAAACACAGCAGTAAGTGAAAGGAAGCAAGAAACAGAATGAAATTCAGAGCTCGGTACCATTTATGCAAATTAGATACGGTCGTCATACATCATTCAAGGTTGCAGACCTATCTACACAAACATATTGAGAAGCAGTAGTCAGAAAGAGTCAACTCAGTACACGTGACAATGCGGTTAAAATTGAAGAACACAGTGCTGAGTGAAAAATGCCAAAAACAGATGAGATTTAGAGCAGAATACCATTTATGCAAGTCAAACACACACACAATACCACCACCATCATGCAAGTTTTAGGAAACAAATACAGTTAAGCAAACATCTGTAGAACATATAGTAAGTATGGTTGAGTGGGTGTCCATGGTTGAAAAAGATAGTGGGGAATATAAAAGGGAAAAAATAGAACGAGAGAGAGTCTCAACGTGAACCAGTAACACAGCACATTAAGAATTGAGGAGCACAAAAGGACTCAGTGCTGTTCCCTAGAGTTTTCCCTCTTTCCACTAGGCACACTTCCCCTGGGCAATCTTTCTCTCCCAGGGCTTCTAGTGACAACTTCTGAGATACCAATGAGGTCTGAATCTCTGTTTACACTTCACTCCTGCCCTTCAGACATGGATGGCCAAACTATCTTCTAGGTGGGCCCTCCAGGATGACTCCTAGGCAACTCTCACCACCCCCAGTCTATCTATACCAGGGCTTGAATCCTAACCTCTGGACCTTCAGGGCTTTCCTGTGTCCAGCTGTCTACTGTCCTTGGTGCTGAGGACCAAAGTGCTCCCTTCCCTCGGAGCCCAAATGCCGGCTGTCCATGGTCCTGAATCTCACACAGCCACGCTTCCCAGCTAGTCTCCCGCTGTCCTTGGTGCTGAAGACCAAAGTGCCAGTGCTCACTTCCCTTCGAGCCCAGCTGCCCGTGTCTGCCTGCGGTCCTCGGTACTGAACTTCACATGGCCCCACTTCCCTCTGCATCCAGCGACTCTACCCCCTTCACCGCTGCCCTTGGTGCTGAATGCCTAAACCAGAACACGCAGGATCTGGGGGTTTTACAAGCAGAGGGTGGGGAGAGGAGGTATGGACACGGGTGGCCGGTGTAGCCAGACGCTGAGGCAGAGTCCAGGCGTAACTGCTCAGGCTTTTCATTTGTATGAATGAGTCATGGTGCCCTGTGCATAGTGGGCATTTTCTACAGGTCAGGCTCTGTGCTGAGTGCTGTGTAGCTGACTCTCCTGAATCCTTCCACAGACCCTGCTAAGATCTCATCCCACGGAGGATACTGAGGCTTGTGAAGGTTAGGTTGCCCACCCTACACCCTGCAGTGGGGAGGCTGGCGTCTCACCACAGGCAACACGGCTCCAGAGCCCACGCTCCTGTCTGCTGGAATGAATGCTAGAGGACACCCCCGAGAGCTGCAGAGGCCTTGACTCTGTGGGACACTCCTTCCCCCTCCTTTTTGTTCCCTGGTGGGTTCTGAGCTTCTGCCCCACCTGTGGGGGTGCCAGGCCAGTGCTGGCTTCTGCTGACCCCTAGACTCACTTCTGTTTCAGCTTCATGATCTTTTCGGTGTTGGGAAGGCAGTTTGTCCATGGCAGGATCCCGTACAGCCACTTCAGCAAACAGTAGCCCAGGGTCTGGAGGTCGCTGCGGCGGAAGGGCCCTGGGAAGGGAGGGCAAGAGGCGGCAGCTCAGTCCAAATGTTCTGCTCCCTGACAGATCCACCCGCTTCCTTTCTCTCTCTGACTGAACCTTGCCCTCATGGACTCAACCATCTAAGCACACGAGCTTTAGTCTGTTCATTCACTTTTCATGTGCCTGCTCTCGCGCTGTGACGAGTCTCTTTTACTCTCGTTCACTCTGTCAGCCATCCTTACCATCCCCGCTCTCACTAGCTTACTCCCTCATCTCTTGTCTTTCATTCATTCACTGAGTCCTCGGCTCTGTGTACCAGGCCCCATTACGCCTTCTTAAATCCCAGACAAGAGTTTGGCTGGGTCCCAGCCCTTGACAGTCTAATGGGGACACAGTACAGTGTGGGATTACCTGAGCTGCAGGGGAAGCAGGACAGGGTGAGAGGGAGCCCAGAATGATGGGCAATGAACCCAGCCTCAATAGAGGAGGTAAGGGAGACTGTCTGATTTATTTTTATTATGTTTCAGACAACAATTTTTGTAAACACTGAGAGTTGACTGTACCAGACCCTCCGATATCGGAAGCACAGGGACCACCCCTTTCTTGGGGGAGGTCAGTCTGGTGGGAGGACACAGGCAGGCACATGGATGGCCATGACATCAAGGGATTTGGGACAGAGAGGCTGAGACCTCCTCAAGGAATCTTCTCCTCAAAGTACTTTCTTTTTACTTATTCTGTACATTTTCCTTGGATAATCTCATTCCTCTCCCAGGGCTTCAGCTGACAGCTCCTGAGATACTGCTGATATCTGGGTCTCTGTCCAGACTTACTCCTGAGCTCCAGACTCTTGGGCAACTCTCATGTTCTAAGCCGAAACCAGATCTCGAACCTGAACCTCTGAAACTCTGGGGCCTCCTTGTGTCCAGCTACTCGCTGCTGTCATTGGTGCTGAACGGCTGCCCTACAACTCCCTGATACAGCCCATTCATGGTTCCAAATCCCCATTATGGCTCCCTTAGTGTGACTCCTGTGTCTGGCCACCTGCTGTCCGTGGCTGTGAAAACCCAGAACTGCCCTTATATGAGAAGTGTACCTCCATGGTCCCGAACCCCTTCTCCAGACCCTTACCACATCCCTTGTGCAGGTCAAGGCTAATGAACTCAAGGTCCCCCTCATGTGGGCTCCTGCTGCCTTCCACATTGGCCACGTGTTTGCCACCGGGGGCATAGCGGAAGGTGAAACCATAGCCTCCCAGCATCACCTGGGTGGACATGGAAAGAAGCCATTCAGTTTGGAAGTTACGAGCTTGGATTCTTAAGTCAGAGATTTCAATCACGGGTGCAATTTGAAACAAGTGCATGCCGAACAGTACAGACGGGTGTGAAATGAAAAGAACCCAAACTGACCATCCACAGCTTCCAACCCATGCCCAGAAGGAACGACTAATAATCGTTTCTTATGCATTGTTTCGAACAGCTTTCTTTGAATACCTGGTAAACACACGGATGCAGAAGGGGCTCTAGTTTTCCACAAAGGGAAATTATACCTCTTGTTGACATCATTATACCTCTTGTTGGACACCTGGTTTTTGCATGTTTTTAAAGTGGGCTGCACACCGAGTACAGAGCCCAATGCGGTGCTTGAACTCACGACCCTGAGATCAAGACCTGAACTGAGATCAACAGTCAGACGCTTAAATGACTGAACCACCCAGGCGCTCCTCCGCAACAGCTTTTTGCATTTTAATGTTTATTTATTTTTGAGAGAGAGAGACACACACAGAGTGCGACTGGGAGAAGGGCAGAGAGGGAGACACAGAATTCGAAGCACGCTCCAGGCTCTGAGCTGTCAGCACAGACCCCGATGCAGGGCTTGAACTCATGAACTGCGAGATCACGACCTGAGCCAAAGTCAGATACTTAACGGACTGAGCCACCCAGGTGCCCTGTTTTTGGCATTTTAGTAGTAGTTCCGGGTATTAAAATCTGGAGCCAGATAGACCCCCACTCAGCCGTGCCTGAAGCCAGCGAGGTTCTGGCTTTTTCCACTCAATGGGCCACAATTTGCAACACCCCTTAAACATTTTCTTTTTAAAGCCATGTTAAATCAGGTTTCTATCATTTGCAACTGAAAAAGTAATTAGAATTTACTTTAAAAGGTTTTTTAATCAGCACCCCTACCAGGAGTGTATACTTAAGGTTTTCCCTCTTTACTATTACAATCAGTGCTGTCAGAAACATTTTGTACATATATCTTTGCAGAAGCCTGTGAGTATACATATAGGACACATTCCTAACTGGTGGATCAGAAAAACATACCCATTTAAAATTCTGACTATATCCAAACTGCCTTCCAGAAAGGTTGGCCAATTCCCACTTCCAGCAGTATATAAAGAATTTGTTTCCTTACATCCTTATTAGCAACAGATAACCATTCTTTTAAGTTTTGTCTACTCTTAAAACAGGATGTTTTAATTTTCATTTCTATGACTATTGACATTATTTAGGGAGGTTGAGCCTCTTTTCACGTACTTAACCAACCTGTGGGTTTCTTTTCCTATGAACTGCTTTTCCTATTCGTTTTTCATTATTCTACTAAGTTGCTTATCTCTTCTTATTTATTCAAAGGAGCCCTTTACATATGATAGACAACAATTCTTTATCTGCAATAAGCATGGTGAAATACACGGATGTTTTGAGACAGATGAGACACTGAGCCCAGAGAGCCCCTAGGGTGGAGGGGACCTAGCTATTACCTGGCTCAGGTCCTCTGGATTAACAAAGATGTTCTCAGCTGTCACATTTCCATGGACGTACTCATTCTCATGGAGGAACTCCAGGGCATCCAGCTGGGGGAAGAAAGACAGCCTCTCCATGAGTAGCTTGACTAACACAAAGAGGTTCTGAGGCAGAGCCCAGTGAAGGAATCTCCACTTAGGCCTAGGGTCAGAGGCGCTACTTGTGGTTGGAAGGGGAAAGACTGTTTAAGTCTAATTCTGAGTGAAGCATTAGGAAGCCCCATCTGCCAACACACCCAAGCATGTCTTGTTTTTTTTGTTTTTTTTAAGTTCTTAAAATTTTTTAGTAATCTCTATACCCAGCGCGGGGCTCGAACTCACAACCCTGAGATCAAGGGTTTTGTGCTCCACTGATTGAGCCAACCCAGGTGCCCCGCAATTTGCATTTCTTATGTCCAGCTCTGACTTCTCTACTGAACTCTAGACCCATACACTGAACTGCCTGGGTGGTAGTTACATCCTGAATATATCCCCAAGCCCACCTTGACCCCAAGGCTTACCTTTCCACTAGGTTCTGCTTGTTCTACAAACTCTCTGTCCCTACAGCCCATCTTCTTCTCAGGCCCTGTCCGCTCGTGCCAACCTCGCCCGGTCTCCTTGCCCCGCCAGTCCATCCCCACATGGGCCACAGGGCTTTTCTGCACGCAGAGCTGATCCTGCTCCTCCCTTGCTCCCGATCCTCCTATGGCTCCCTAGTGCCCTCAGGAAAGAGTCCCAGGTCCTCAGCTTGGTGTTCTGAATGATCTGGTCGCTACCGACCTCTCCACATCAAGCCCGCCTTGTCTACCCCTTCCCCCTCTACATGTCACACTGAAGACACACTGAGCATGTAGACCTTCAGGACTCTTAACATGTCACTCCCTGGCCACTTCCACCTCTCCGGCAACTTAAATTGGGTCCTCTTATCCTCCATCACAGCAGAGGGACATTTCTATTCAGAGGACGTTTGCGGCTTGTCAAACTGTTTACTTTAAGATCATCCTCCCCCACTAGACGTAACAACCATGTCTGTGCTACTCCCAGCCCCTGGGACAGTGTCAGACACCCAGCAGGGACCTGATAAATATTTAATGAAAGGATGGATGGATGAGGGAATGAGTGAATGAACGAATGAATGAATGAACAAATGCCTTCTGCTCTCCCCTATACAAGCCTCTGCCCAAGCTGTATCCTTGGCCTGGAATATTCTCTTCACAAATCTCCACTCCCACTCTCCACTCCCACTCCACCTGGCACCTTGCTATTTCCCACCCGTGGCTTCTACTAGGAAGCCCAGCTGAGCCCCTCTTTTTAAGGCTGGGGCCCCTTCTTCCACCTCTCACCTGGGAATGCTGGTCACTCTGGTTCTAATGGCCTAGTGCCCACCTGTGCCTGTCAAGCACTAGCCCCCGGTGTCTAGCAGAGGGAGACACGGGTTGAATGTGTCAATGAACAGGCCAACTGGTAATCTAGGACCTAGTGCGCCATCCCCTGGATGGGAGCCAGCAACTTCTAGGTACATACCAGCCGGCAGGCCATCTGGAACACAGACCTCACCGACATTATATGCTTTGGGTTGTCATCCAGGACCGACTGAAGGCTCCTCCCCAGGGTGGGAAACACCAAGAACCTGGAAGATAGGAGTATCCCAGGAGGTGGGAGAGATGACCGGGGCAGGGGGGCAGAATCCAGGCCACCAAGGAGGGACCGTGGCTGGGTGGCCACAAGGTCCCGGTCCTGGGCAAGATCAAGGGTTCCTGATTGGTAGGGGATCAGCGTGGCTCAATGCTGTGGAGGAAGAAGCAACTGGCTGGCCAATGGCTCCGGGGTCCCAGCCATGCCTGGTCACGTGACGGGGAGAGAAAGAACGGGACCAGTGAGGTGGCTGGCACGTGAAGTGACTCACCTGTACCTGTCCTGGTGAATGCCAAAACCGACACAGGTGGGGATGGCCAGGAGGGGGGTCGAGTTCAGCTTCTTCCACTTGTGCACTGTGGGAGGCAGGGAACTGAGAAGTTAGAGTCCACCTGGTCCCGGGCCCATAGCCCGTTCTCAGAGCGGAAGCAGAGACTGCCTGAGCCCAGGCAGGACCCTCAGTCCTCCCAGTCAGAGACACCACCTCTGCGAGTGGGTGACAGCAGGGTGGGGACAGGGTGGGCATCGCTGACCTCGGGCTGTCATCTGTATCTGCGGGTGACAGGGGGTGAACGAGGCGGAAAGCACATACAAATCTGGAGCGGGAGGCCTCAGAACAACAGAGTAACCTCTGGATTCACACGTGTGACTAGTAAGATCAGGAAACGTCTCCGCTGGTCCTGGCATCATTGGATGCCTACCCACCTTCCAGCATCTCAGTTGGGTGATACAGATCCAGGGGTGTGCTGGCCAGGGGGGGGACAGCCCTGAGCTGCAGTGTTTGCCAACTTTCGTAAACACTTCCCACCGTGGCCGATTTCGGGCCACTGATCTGACGTGACAGAATGTGTGGCTGGAAGAGATGCCAGCACACCATCGCGCGGTGTTTTCACCAAGCAGGCACGATGGCTGTAAACAACCCCGAGAGTATAGGTCATAGACAATGTAGACAAGTAATTAGGAAGTGATGAGTTCTGAGTATCTGAATATTTACTACTGTTCTTAATACAATGTAGTTGATTGTAGGCTGATGTGATCGATTTTAAGTAATGACTACGTTGAGCAACTGGCCGCGGTACTTCTGATAATTCAACACTAGGCTCTCCAGGCCCACGGTGTCTGTCCTCTGAGGCCCAAGGCCCAAGGCCCAAGGCCCAAGGGGTGATGGGGCGCAACTGGGCCTTTTCCCACACCTTCAGGGGGAAGTTAGTTGCTCTGACCAAGAATTCACCGCTCTCTCCCCCTTGTCCATTTCCCTGCAGAATACCTTGCAAAGGCTTGGCCGCCCGCTGGAAGAAGTTCTGCTCAATGAACAAGCGCCCGTCCTTGGCATCCTAGTCGGGAACGGCAGGGGGAAAGGTGTCACAATGCAAGCTCTCAGACAAGGGCTTCAAGGACATTACTGGCCAGGTATCACCCCAGGTTAGTGCCAGCACAACCATCACCAAGTCCCCCACTTCAGAACCAAATCCCCTAGGGTGCTGCATGTGAACATGTTATTTCCATTGCCCAGATTTCTTTTCTGATAGGATCCACAAGTTTCCCTAGACATGTGGCCTTCAGCTAAAAACAACATTTCCCAGCCTCCCTGGCAGTGAGGAATGACCATGTGACCAAGTTCTGGCCAACGGAGATGTAAGCAGAAGAGATGTGGGCAACTTTCAGGTTATGCCCTCAAAGGGCTGGGCAGGCTCTCCCTTTTCACTTCTGTTCCAGTTGGCTGGAATGCAGAGGAGATGGTGGGAGCTGAGGCAGCCATCTCAGCCCATGTGGAGCCGCCCATGTTGGAGCAACGAGAGAGAAAGTGGGCTCCCCTGTTCATGGAACCACAGTGATAGCCCTGGACTACTGCCCCAGACTTACGTGAATAAAGTAAACTATTACTTTTGCTGAAGCCATTAATAATATCGGATCATTTTTTCTACAATGCAAACTGAGTATTTTAATTAAACACAACTAGTACAGCTGGGTTCTTGAGAGCACAGGGCTAAAGAACTAGGTTCAAAGCTCAGCTCTGCCATTCATTCATTCTTTCTACAGAGCACCTATTATGTGCTGAGCACTCTACTGGCATTGGAGATACAGCAGTGAAGAAAGCAACTTGCATGCTGGTTGCCCCTGGGCCAGTGACGAGTCCCCATTATCTCACCTATTAAATGGGGAAACAGAGTAACCAGCTCACAGGCTTGCTTGTGAGACTCTTAACCCAGGGTCAGGCATGGAACAGGCTCTCGACGAACAGGGGCTATTACTCATCTGTGAGCCTGGCTCCGGAGTCCTCGCTCTGAACCACTCACACAGTCTCTGTCTAGGGCCAGGGGAAGGCACCCGGACTGGCTGCCACAGTATTCTGGGGGGGGGGGGGGTAAGGGTGAGAAAATCTGAATAAATGAAGGGAAGACAATAAAAGTCACCTACAATCCCAGCTTTCAGAGATGACGAGGCTACTAACCAAGACGATACCCTTTTATCAGATTTCATGGACTCTTCAGTGCAAGGACCCCATCAGATTGCTTCTCTGATGGACTCCAACATCCGGCACAGTGAAATACAGTGAGTGCTCAACAAATACATGCTATGAGGCAGACAGGTAGTGGGCAAGTGGGCCACACAATGTGGGTACTAGTGGCTTCATTGCAAGGGTGAGGACACTCAGCCCCTCCAGACTGCACAGCCCAACAGCACCAGAACCAGGGCTCAGGGAGAACTTGACTGCAGCTTCCCAGGTCCCCTGTGATAAAGAACCTGAGGCTGGAGGGAGATGTGCCCCACCCAAGGTCCCACTGCCCCCTGCAGGCTAAGGTGGAGCTTTCCTGCCTGTGCCAGCCCTCAGAGGGGGCTTGGAGGTCAGTGGTGCCCAAGCCCCAGGCCCTCCCCTTGTGACTGCCCCCCAGGGACACTCACTAGTTTAAGCGAGAATCTTTGTTTCTGGGGACTTGACTTGCAGGTGAAGGTGGAGACAGGCTCAGCTGTGGGTGGACAAAACGAACAAAGTTATGATCACCAGGGAAAGTGAAAGTCATAGTCCTGAAACTTCTCAGTGAAGAGCAAGCAACACTTCCGCTTGTCAAGTGCATTCTTGGCTTTCAAGACCTGTTCCTTCCTAGGTCTCGGAAAAGTTCTGTTTTTTCCTCCTTTCTCTCTGCTAATATTCAGCTACACAAAAAGGGTTATTACCAAGCAGGCCTGACTTCTGTCCTTGGAAAGGCTTGCTTGCAAGGGTGGTCCATGGCTGGTGTCTGAGTACTTGGATTTCAGGAGGGTTCCAGCATCACTGAACCAAGCAGAGGGGCCCCCTGTGCCCAAACTATTATGCTGAACACCTGCTTTCCTTCTGGGAGTCTAGAACGTTGGTACGTTCCAGGCAGAGTGTGCCTAAGTGACCAGCTACCAATAAAAACCTGGGGTATGAGATGCCTGGGTGGCTCAGTTGGTTGAGCGTCTGAGTTTAGCTCAGGTCATGATCTCGTGGTTTGTGAGTTCAAGCCCCCACATCAGGCTCACTACTGTCAGCGCAGAGCCCGCTTCAGATCCTCTGTCTCTCTGCCCCTCCCTTGCTCATGCTCTCTATCAAAAATAAATACATATGAAGAAAAAAAAAACTGGGTGCTGGGTCTCTCAGGAGCGTCCCTGGTAGACAACACTTCACGTGTGTTGTCACACTTCCTTGTGCATCCTCCGGGAGCCCCCGGGGAAGGGACTCTCAGAAGATTGTGCTGGTCTCCCCTCAGATGTTACTCCGTGGGCCTTTCCCCTCCCTTGACTGTGCTCTGTGTTCTTTTGCTGAAATGCACTGTGGCCCAACTATGTGCTGAGGCCTGTGGGTCCTCCTTGTGAATACCTGAGCCTGGGGGGGGGGGTGGTCCTGGGGATCCCCAATACACCAGATATTTGCATTTGTCTACACATGTGGGTGAGTACCATGGGACGGATGAAGCCTTGTCCCAGCCCCATCCCCACCCGGGGAAGTGCCGTCACAGGTTGACTTCTGCCCCTCGGGGTCCTCTGAGCTGCAATCCCGGGGCTGCCCAGATCCAATGGCTGATCCAGCCCTGCCGGCTCAACATGGAACCGTGCTGAACCACCACTTCCGCCCCCGAGTCCCCATGGGGCCATCTGAGCCTATCGCTGGGGGGGGGGGGGGGGGGGCGCACCATCCACATCCTTTCTCCTCTTTTCCTCATAAACACCCTGCCTGCTTGTCCCATGCTGCTCAAGGATAAACCCCGTGCTAAGTGTCGGCTTTACACGCATGGTCTCCCTTTAATGGTCTCAGGACAGCCCCGGAAGGTCTACTATGTTATGATTACTGCTGCTGCCGCCATTGTTGTTAGTGCCACCTGCCGGAGGAGAGGAGAACTGCGGGTCAGAGAGGCCAAGAGAGGCTACTCGCAGGGCAATCAACTCTCTGTGTGACTCTACGCGAGGTGCTAGACTTCTCTGGGCCTCCACTCCCATGCCTGTGAAATAGGAGTGACGAAGCCCGTCCCCAGGATTGGATACAAGGGCTCAGGTGGCCCAGCAGGAATGAGCACGGCAGTAGCTGAGCGCATACCATACATTTGAAGCTAGCTGCATCCTTCACATGCACCGCTCAGAGAACCCACTCAGCCCCGGAGCTCGGCACCAAGCCAGGCTCATCACGAGTGCTCAACATCATCCGGGGCCCATAAACCAACACACTGTTGTCCATTCCCGAGGCTCTCTGTGCCCTCCTCCACCCTTTCAAATCCTTGCTGCCCCTTGTTCAGCCAGATTGGCGCTGTCCAAGGTGTGGAAATAAGGGAGGTGACAGTTACCCAGAAGCCATCCTTGCCCTCATGAAGCTCCAGCCAGAGCAGGGTGGGAGTCCAGGGTTTACAGAACCCAGGACCGAGGGTGACCCGAGCCAAGCCTAAGAGAGGGAAATTTGGGGGGGGGGGGGCCCCAAATCTCAGGAGAAAGGGGGGTCCTTTCCACCTGTGAGAAGGGGGCTTGGGGAGATCACCAACGGGTGTCTGGAGCTGGCTGTGGCACCTCTCAGGCATGCTAACAGTACCCAGCTCACAGAGTTCCCACACAGACGGGTGACACATATGCTCCTGACGCTCAGAAGCAGGCAGGGACAGTTGGCAATTTCAGTGCGATCTCAGGCACCACTCTGCAGATTATGAGGGGCTTTTTCTCTTGAGCTCCTCTGTGGCCCTCATGCCAACAGCCCGCAGAGCCAGCTGGGCGATTCCCATTATAGAGGGGAGCCCACAGCGGCCCAGGAAGGGCAATGAGCTTGGTCACTGGCCCCTGCAGAGCCAGGCTATCAATCCAGGGCTCCAGACTCTGGGACGTGGGGAGACGCCTGCCTGATGCAGACCTGATACATGGAGAGCATGCAGACAAGAGCATAGCAGGCAAACAGGTGGAAGCTCCCAGCTGCCAGATGTGCACCTGGAGCAAGAAAGTTGGTCTGGGATCCAGCATAACCAGAACGAACCGACTGAGCCACCCAGGCGCCCCACAAGAGTTCTTACAGAGAAGGGGGTTAGGGAAGGTATAACTAGAGAAAGGGGGGGAAGGCATGGGCATAATGGAAGCAGAGAGGAGCTTGATACATCTTGAAGCTGAAGGAAGGGCTATGAGCCCAGGAACACGGGCGCCTCTAGAAGCCCGAAAATGCAAGGAAACAGGCCCCTCTCCACCCCCAGAGCCTCCAAAAGACTCGTGAGACTGATTTTGGACTTCTGACCTCCACGCCTGTAAGAGAACAAACGAGTGCTGTCTCAAGCCACTAAGTTTGTGGTAATTTGTTATGGTGGCCACAGAAAACTGACACAAGCCCCAAATCTCCGTCCACAAGGGCACAGACCCAGAGGGTAGTCCTGAACTTGAGCCCAGGCTACTTTTCACAAGCACAGCGCCGTGAGCAGCTGCGGGGATTTATGTGGTGACCCGACACTGGTTCTCCCAAATTGTTCCAGGGAGATGGGGAGGGTGATATGAGAACTCAGGAACTGACAAAGGAAAAGGGTGGCCACTCACAGGGCTGTATGAATAAGGGAATAAGATGGGGGGGGGTGCCTAGGCGGCTCAGTCAGTTGTGCGTCTGACTTTGGCTCAGGTCATGATCTCATGGTTCATGAGTTCGAACCCCACATTGGGCTCTCTGCTGTCAGTTCAGAGCCTGCTTCAGATCCTCTGTCCACCTCTCTCTTTGTCCCTCCATCATTCTCTGTCTCTCAAAAAAAAAAGGGGGGGGATGCAAGCTGGTGCAGCTACTCTGGAAAACAGTATGGAGTTTCCTCAAAAAACTAAAAATAGAACTACCCTACGACCCAGCAATTGCACTACTAGGCATTTATCCACGGGATACAGGTGTGCCGTTTCGAAGGGACACATGCACCCCCACGTTTATAGCAGCACTATCAACAATAGCCAAAGTATGGAAAGAGCCCTAATGTCCATCGATGGATGAATGGATAAAGAAGATGTGGTATATATATACAATGGAGTATTACTCAGCAATCAAAAAGAATGAAATCTTGCCATTTGCGACTACACGGATGGAAGTGGAGGGTATTATGCTAAGTGAAATTAGTCAGTCAGAGAAAGACAAATATCGTATGACTTCACTCATAGGAGGACTTTACAAGACAAAACAGACGAACATAAGGGAAGGGAAGCAAAAATAATATAAAAACGGAGGGGGACAAAACAGAAGAGACTTGTAAATATGGAGAACAAACTGAGGGTTACGGGAGGGCTTGTGGGAGGGGGGATGGGCTAAATGGGGGAGGGGCATCAAGGAACCTACTCCCGAAATCACTGTTGCACTATATGCTAATTTGGATGTAAGTTTAAAAAAATTAAAAATAAAATTAAAAAAAAAAAAAAGATGAGCTGATTGGTGTGGTGAACTTAGAGCGGGGCCCACAGTGAGCTAAGAGTGTCAGCTGCTGTACTAAAAATTGCAATTCTCGGGGTGCCTGGGGGGCTCAGTCAGTTAAGCTTCTGACTCTTGACTTTGGCTCAGGTCCTAATCTCACGGTTCATGAGCTCAAGCCCTGCGTCGGGCTCTGTGCTGAGCACTGGAGCCTGCTTGCTCATCTAGGAAATGAGGCAACGACACTGCTGACATCCATTATGAGTTAGCAAGTACGAAGCAAACACACGTCCATGTGAAAACGTGTGTGCAGATGCTCACAGCAGCACCAGTCACCAGGGCCAAGTGTGGAAACAGTGCACACGTGCACCGACCCATAACATGAAGAAACCAGATGTGGTATGTGCACACCCTGGAATACTATTCAGCCGCAAGGCAGAATGAAGTTCTGACACGTGCTACGATGTGGATGGACCTTGAAAACATGACGCTGAGGGACAGCATATAGACACAAAAGGCCATGATGTAGTGTATCACTGCATTTATCAGAAATATCCAGAACAGAGAAACCCAGACAGACAGAGCAGATTAGTGGTTGCCTGAGGCTGGGAGGAGGGGTGTGGGGAGTGGGTGCTTTGGTACAGGGCTTCCATTAGGGGTGATGGGAATGTTCTGGAACTAGATACACATGATGGCTGTGCAGCATGATGAATGGACTACAACTCACTTAATAGTAGACTTTAAAATCGTCATTTTGATGAAAGGTCAACCTCATTTGACAAAATAACAACACCCCCCACCCCCAAAATCATATAAAGCACTTGGAACACGGTGCGGCCTTGAATAGGCACTCAGTAAACATTAGGTTGATTAATACCAATCAGTGCACGGTTTTTGTTTTCTTCATTGTAACAAGGTATCGGACTCCCTTTTTTTTTTTTTTTTTTTGAGAGCGAGCGAGAGAGAGAGTGCAGGAGCAGGGGAAAGGGGCAGAGGGGGAGAGAGAATCTTAAGCAGGCGCCTCGCCCAGAGTGGAGCCCGACACAGGGCTCAATCTCATGACTGTGCAATCATGACCTGAACTGAAATCAAGAGTCAGACGCTTAACCGACTGAGCCACCAGGGCGCCCCGGACTTCTTTTTTTAATCTTTGACTACTGCCAGCTTCCAAGCCCGGCCCTGCCTCTTCCGCTCCCCGCTCCACATCTGGGCAGGCTGATAAGAAAGCCAGGGGCTCCCTACTGTGGTGCTGGTGGGAGAGGCGAATCACATGAAGCCCCGGCCCCTGTGCGGGGAACCCTCACCCGGGCCTCACCCTTTAACCAAACAAAAACCCCGATCAGGCACCTTTCCTTCCTGGTTCAGAGCGGTTCAGAGCCGCTCTCAAGCAATTAGCCTTTTGCATTCTCTTGGTCTGTGTCACTCTTAACAATCAAACCAAATCGGTTTTTTTTTTGGGGGGGGTGTTCCATGCTATCTCTGCAGGGTTGATAGAACACTCATCATCGTCCTCATCATTCACCCTCACTGGGCCTGAGCTCCCATATGACAGAGGTGGACACGGAACGGGAGGGGGGTGCCTTGTAACACGGGACACAGAATTCCCAGATGTCCCCATCACCTTTTAGCCTCCTGAACACGCTTACTCTACCTGCGCAGCCCCTGCAGGTGGGTAGGTTTGCAATCCCAAGCCTAAGAGAAAGCTGTCTAGAGGCAGGTGGGCAGCTGGGATATGGCTCTCATTTCCATTCTCGGAAAGGGGGTCCCCGCCCCTCGCCCTGGCTCAGAGATGCCCCTGCCAGACCCAGCACCCGCCGGCCAGTGGACAGCATACCTTTATAGAGAATGCCCTGGCTGTCCCTGGTCTGGAGGGATCCCAGTTTCCAGTATCGCCCATTCTTGTCTGTCACCACCGTCCCTGTGGGCAAAGCCTCAAGCGAGGTTGTCACCCGGCTCCGCTTCAGGGTCTGAGGGCTTTGCCTGGTCGCCTGTGGGCTGCTTTTGGGGGTTGGGGGTCTGCTCCAGGACCCTGCAGGAAGATAGTCAGAATAAGGAAAAAGCAGCAACAGGGAGAGACAAGTTGGATGGGTAATGGGACAACGCTCATCATAGGGTTCGTTTATTCATTTGTTCTTTCAACAAATGCTTCCTGGGACCTTTCATGAGTCAGGCCCTTGTGCGAAAAAGCTGGGGACCCGGACACGAGTCAGACCTGGGCCCTTCCCTCAGGAGCCCCTAATTTGGTGGGGGAGTCTGATCTGGACACCGTCAGTCAGAACTGAGTCCAAAACAGGACAATACAGAGAGATAAGAGAGAGAAACTGATACCGCCTAGAGAAGTCAAGAGAGGCTTCCTGGAGGAGGGGATGTTTGAGTTGGGTCTTGTCGGATGAAGAGAAGTTTACTGAGGGGAAAAAAGACCTTCCAGACATTCGACCAAAAATATCCTGAAACAGGACCTGGCCACCCTGTGCTGAATATAAAGAGTCAGAAATTTGTTAGACAGAGGCCCTGCCCTTGAGAGGCTCCCAGACTGGCAAGAGAATGGGGGGCAATGGGGAGGAGAGAGACAACGACACAAGAAGAGATATTATCTACTCCATTCTTCCCACCCACCATCCACCCAAGGCATAGAATGGCAAGAGGCAGAGGGGCCTGGAGACAACAAGGGACAGAGGGGAGGCACTGGGGGCTGTGACTTTAGATCCAAGGGCCCACTAGGAAGGAGAGGGTACACGGTCCTCAAGACTCCCAGGCTCGTCGGCTGGCTCCAGGCCTATGCACATGAGTCTACCTGGTCCCTGCCCACACAGGACTCTCAGTCTAGCAAGTGAGGCAGAAAGGGCCATGGAGCCTGGAGGAGACATGTGCTCAAATGAGGGTGTCACTGGCACTGGGGGCTAAGAGGGCAAAGAGAGGGAGACGAGGCAGCCTTGATCTAGCCTGTGGTGCTCAGGAAAGGCTTCCTAGAGAGCTGCCCCTCGATGCCAGGATGAAGAGCTGGGGCTGGAGGGGCGATAGGAGGCAGGAGGCTATGCACAGGTGGGAACAGGGGCGGCTCTGGCTGTGTGTAGACGGACTGGAGGCTAGGGATGCTGCAATGAGGGTCCAGGCGGGGTAGGGGATGCCCGGGCAGGGGAAGGATGCCCCAAATACTGTCCGGTGACCCACCTTTTCCCCGTCTAGTCAGGCCAGGTTGACCCCAACTCTCACCTTTGGGTCTCTCGCAGGGTCTCAAGGTATCTTCAGACCCAGAACTGTCACCATCAGAGAAGACGGATGACGAGGAAGAGGTGACAGTGCTAGACCATCTCACTTTCTTGGAAGAGCTTTCAGAACTGGTGTTCCTCTTTCTCTTTGAGCCTGGAGAAAGGAAGACAGGATGCAGACTGAAATTACAAAGGCCTTTTCCAGGGAACCCTAAACTGGAAAACCCTGAGGGCACATTCAACCACTCTCTTCCCGCCGATCCCCAGAGCCAAACCTCGCTTCTTCGGTCACCTAAATACCTAAGCAAACTATCCCTTCATTTTATTTTTTTCCTCCTCTCTTTTATTTTTTTGTGTTTATTTATTTTGAGAGAGAGAATGCACTGTGCGCGAGCAGGGCAGGGGCAGAGAGAGAGAGGGGGAGAGAGAGTCCCAAGCAGGCTCTGCCCTGTTAGCACAGGGCTGGACGTGGGGCTTGATCCTGCTAACCACGAGCCGCAATCAAGAGCCGGATGCTCCACTGACCAAGCCAGCCAGGCACCCCCTGAGTTGTCAACTTGAAAACCCAGGGGCCGATCAGATGCCAGGAAACTGAGTGTAGACAGAGTCTGAGTCCTGGGCAGCCCCAGGATCAATGCCGGGTCAGACAGGCTGCAAAGGTTTCCGGCCTTCCTCCCCCGAAGCATGCACACATGCACTCGTCACCCCTCAAAGGGCTGGTTCTTACCTCGGATGGATGACGTAAGCGGTCTGACAAAGGTCTGGCACCCTTCATGCTCCTCCACAGGCAAAGGTTTCCCACAGTAGGGGCAGAATTTGAATGTCGCTTCGATATTTTTGCCACAGTTTGGACAGAAAGTGATCATGCTAGAAAACAAAAGGTGGGGGAGGGAACAGGGAGCTGAAAGCAAAACTTCACCCACTGCCAGTGAGTAGTTCATCTGCGCTCCCCCTGGTGACAACATTGCAAAAGGGAGAAAAGTTACTACATTGGAATATACTCTCTTAGGAAGTGACCACTTCTATTTTTTTTTTAACGTATTTATTTATTTAGAGAGAGAATGGGGAAGGGGCAGAGAGAGAGGGAGAGAGACAATCCCAAGCAGACTCTGTGCTACCAGCGCAGAGCCTGACGTGGGGCTTGATCTCACAAACCGTGAGATCATGACCTGAGCTGAAACCAAGAGTTGGGCGCTTCCCCAGGAAGTGGACACTTCTAAAACAAATTCCCCCCCCCCCCCCGCCTCCGCCACTGCATCCAGCTTCTAGCCACCCATCTCTCCCCTAATGGCCCAGGGCAGGTCAAAAGCAGAAAAATGCAATGCGAAACTGCAGGTTTCACAGAAGATACGGGAATTCCTTGGAGTCCATGAAAGTTACGCAGAACCGCTCAGGTCACTGAAGCACTGAGGGTCTTCCCCTGTACTTCCGATGTTTGTTTCTTGAAACACACAATTGGTTTGGGAGAGACCGTGAATGCTCACCAAATATCCACGTGCTCCCCTACCCTTCCTGGGGGTCCCCTGCGGTTACACCGGGGCCACATAACTAATCCTGGTCAATGGCGTGTGAGTGGAAGTCAATTCCCAGCTGAGGCAGTTAAGAGCCAGAGGACCCCCTCCATCCACCCCTTCTCAGCACGCATGGCCCCGGAGGCCGCATCACTCCCCTGGCATAGCTACAAGATGAAGGAGGGCTGTCGGGTCCACGCTGGAATCTCATGATCAGTGAATAAATACATGTTGCATTAAGCCCCAAGGACCGTAGCATCCGCTACTGCAAACAGCCTGTCTTATCCTGACTTAGTGAGACACAGGTGTTGACATTATCCTTTAGGCTTTGTGTGTCTCTGGGATATTTCCTAACACTTGTAAAAATCAAAACCAAAGGTACACACAGAGCCTATTAAAAAGGAGGACACGGCAGGTGTATTCGTCTGCTCGGGCTGCTGTACCCAAACACCACTGCCTGCGGGGTTTGAACCACAGAATTTATTTCCTCAGAACTCTGGAGGCCAGAAGTCGGAGATCAAGGTGTGAGCAAGGCCGGTTTCTTCTGGGGCCTCTCTCCTTGGCTCACAGATGGCTGCCTTCTGTGTTCACATGGCCGTCCCCCTGACGGCGTTCCAATCTCTTCTTGTAAGGAACCAGTCATATGGGATTAGGGCCCCGCTTTGGTCTGTTTGGGCTGCGATATTGAAATATGACAGACTGCGTGGCTTATGAAAAACAGAAACCTATTCCTCAGAGTTCTGGAGACTAGGAGGTCCGAGGTCAAAATGCCACCATGGTTGAGTTCTGGTGAAGGCCTTTGGGGGTCCAGACTGACAATTTTTCCTCAGTCCCCACATGGTGGAAGGGGCTAGGGAGCTATCTGGGGTCTCCTTCAAAAGAATACTGATCCCATTAGTGACTGCTCTACCCTCATGACCTACCCTCCTCCCCAAAAGCTCCTCTCCCTAATACCATCACATTGGGCATTAGCATTTCAAAATATGCGTTTTGGGGGAGGGGGACACAAACATTCAGACTGTGGCTGGCCTACCCTAACAACACCGTTTTAACTTAATTACCTCTTTAAAAGCCCTATCTCCAAATACGGCCACATTCTGAGGTACTCAGGGTCAGGGTTTCCACATGATGGAATTCTGAGGGACACAAGTCAACCCATAAAAACAGGATTAAACTAGTTAAGCGAAGAAGAGAAAATCAACAAGGATGCCAGTGCTATGGGTACTTCAAGTAGATATATTTTACTTTTTTTTTTTTTTAATTTATTGTTTCTTTTTTTTCTTATTTTAAGTAAACCCTACACCACACGACACTCGAACTCATGACCTCGAGATTAAGAGTCACGTGCTCTACCAACTGAGCCAGCCAGGTGCCCCTCAAGTAGATATATTTTATTTTACTTATTTTTTAAGTAGATGTATTTTATTTGTTTATTTATTTATTTATATACTTTAAACTTTTTAAAAAATGTTTAATTTTAGAGACAGAGACAGAGCACAAGTGGGGGAGGGGCGAAGAGGGAAGGAGACACAGAATCCCAAGCAGGCTCCAGGCTCTGATCTCTTAGCACAGAGCCCGAGGTGGGGCTCGAACTCATGGACCGGACCGGGAGATCATGACCTGAGCGAAGTCGGAGGCTTAACCGACTGAGCCACCCAGGTGTCCCTATTTATAAATCTCAAATAGCAAAAGAAAGTAAGATTATTTCCTTCGCCCTTTATTGTAAGACTTGGCATACAGTACTGATTACCAACTGGCTATGGAAACACAAGCCAAAGTAAGTTTGCTCGTGACTTCATGTCACCTCGCAAGAGAAAGTTCTCTCCTCTTTTATTTTTGACAAACAAAAATTGTACATATGTGGGGCGTACCACACAATGTGCTGCAATTTGTCCATATTGTGAAATGGTTACCACAACTGCCTGATTAACATATCCGTGACCACCCATAGCTGCCACTATTTTTGTGTGGGTGGTGAGGACCCTTGAGATCCATTTTCTTAGCAAATTTCAGGTATTTGATACATTATCATTGACTACAGTTGCTACGGTCTCCAGAATTTGTTAATCATAACTGAGTTTGTCCCCTCCCCAACACTTTCTTTTAAAAGTAGGCCCCACGCCCAACGTGGGGCTCGAACTCACGACCCTGCGATCAAGAGTCGTCTGCTTTTCCAACTGAAGCCAGCCAGATGCCCTGAAAGTCTGTCCCCTGTGATCAATATCTTTTTCCCCACAGCCTCTGGTAACCACCATTCTACTCTCTGTTACTAGGAGTTTGGCTTTTTTTTTTTTTTTTTTTTTTTTCTTAGATTCCACCTAGAAGTGAGATCATGCCATAACTATCTTTTTGTGTCTGGGTCAGTCTGATCAAACCCCTTTTCCTGTATTCACCGTAGAGCTTGGTGTCTGTTGCACCTGTAAACAGGAGAGTCCTTAAAGTCTGGCTCTGGCTCCAGGCTCCTGGATTTCGGTTCCATATCCGCTACATGCCGGGCATGTTACTTACCCTCTCTGTGCCCCAGTCTGCCCAATGGTAAAATGCGGCTTCTAACAGTACTTTTTTTGACCGCTAGAGTAGTTGCTGGGGCCTAAATGAATACATTTATATCAAGCGCTGAGAACAGGGCCTGGCCCCCGGAAAGCCTTTTATGTTAGTGGCTCTTATGACCGGATCATGCCCCGTATCCAATTTACATTCCAGTTGTCAGTCCTTCTCTTCTGCCCCTTCCCTTTCCGGAAGTTCCGCGCCTCCCAGGCTTCTCCATTTCCACTTGGTGCTGACTTATGGACTTCCAGTGCTTGCCCTTGAAAGTCACAGGCCGTCCAAAGAGCTCAGGAAAGAAATCGCAGCCAGAGGAGATGAGGGTTGTGCTTCCCCTTGGTCTGCAGAAGAGCAGAAACCACACTGTGGTAGAAAACTGCCTTTCCTTCAACTCCCACCAAGGAGCTGTGTACGATGTCAGACCGCAAAGGCTGTTGCCAAGTGTCTTTTAAGGAAACCTGGAGGTTGGTTGTGGCACTTAATTTGTTGTCCTGGTTGACATCTGAATGGACAGATCTCTCTTCTCGAAGGGATAAACATGGGTGAGCATTTTTGGTGAGCTAGAGGAGTCACTCCTCTTCTCGCTTCAGGCCACTGCACACCTGAAGCCCCTCTGGTGACGCTGGAGCCACAAGATCAAAATGGCCTGGAGGGCGGCTACCCTGAAGAGTGGTTCCAGGCTTTGTACCCGTGACAAACTTGAATTTGGGTTCAGCCACTGAGATATGGGGGCTGCTGCTAATGCAGCATAGTCTGGCCTCATCTGACTAGCAAACTAAGACTTTAGTTTTGTTTTGTTTTTTTAATTTATTTATTCTGAGAGAGACAGCATGCACGCACATGAGCAGGGGAAGGGCAGAGAGAGAAGGAGAGAGAGAGAATCTAAGCAGGCTCCCTGCTGTCAGCACAGAGTCCAACACGGGGCACGAACTCACAAACTGTGAGATCGTGACCTGAGCTGAAATCAGGAGTCAGACGCTTAACCGACTGAGCCACCCAGGCACCCCTAAGACTTGGCAGTTTTTTTGTTTTTTGGGGTCTTTCGGGCTTTACAGTGTTAAGTGGTTTTGCCTTAAGTGGAGTTTTCCCTCCGTGCCAAGTGCCCTTGGCTAAAGATGGCCTCTAGGATGGGGCAAGCACCTAATCCAGTGACCCTGTCACATCCATGATAACTTTCCTCCTGGGAGTGAAGTCTGACAGCAGCAACACAGAGGAGGCCGAACAGGAGCAGGCTGTTGGTGGGGAATAAGCTATAAGGGGGCCTGTCCCTGAGGGGATGGTACCTTAATGGGGTCACAGTCTGGCCTTCAGATTCCCTGGGCTGGAAACTCCATCTTAGAAGAGTCCTGTAAGTGAATAAAAGTGGAGAGGTTGACTCGGGCCCATTTCACATATAAGTGAAAGATAATGGTTAATGTTTACTGATCACTGGCTATGTAGCCCGCAAGTACTAAGTTCATTCACTCACTCAATAATCACTCACCGAACTCCTAATATGTGCTAACCACTGGGGATACAGCAGCAAAGGAAACAAACGAGGCCCTTGACCTGAGGAAGCTCACATTCTAGTGGCAGAGGATGAGATTAATAAACAAATGAGCAACTGTTTAGTAGGTCAGATGGAGGTAGTGTTACAGTAAACGCTCAATAAATATGGATGGAAGAAGGCAGTTTCACAGTAAAGTCACCTGTCCAAGGTCACATGGCTAGTTCAGGACTTAAACCCAAGGCTCCAACGCTCAGGCCAGTCTTTATCATCCATTCACCCGTTTATTTGATTTGTTCAACCAATATTTACTGAACATTTGCTATCTGTTAAGAATTGCGTCCCTCCTAGGAGGTTCTCAGCCATTGTACAGCAAAAGAGCTAAAGGCTACTAGACTCCATCCACCTCAGGGAAGGAGGGACAGTCTTCTGGATGACCACGACTCGCCTAGGCCCCGCCCTCCCAAAAAATCGGGCATGACGTCGTGTCAAGACAGGACGGCCGACAAGCTCCCTATGAGCCCCGCCCATCTCCGTCGTAGCCACACCCGCCAAGACCCCACAGGGGCCTGAGAGGGCTGCAAGGACAGATCAGTAATCGCGGCGACAAGAAGCTTCTTTCATAGAGACCCCCAGCCCGGGGGCCTCCGTCTCCCACAAAGGGTCGTGCTGACGTCACAGGCAGCACGACCGAACTGTGGTCACTGCATCAGGAGACCTCTCCCTTCTCCGCCTCACTTTCCCCTCACCTCTGGACTTCGTGAGCGGGGTTGGGAGCCAGGTATCTGCGGCCAGATTCTCCGACCCTTCGCGGAAGTAGGACTCACCTTCTTAGTTGTCCCGCGTAAACTTCCGGGAGGCGGAGAGCGCTGCGCGCGCATCCTCGACCCGAGGAAGGACAGCGCCCGCGCAGGCGCTGCTGGCCTCCGGACTGCCCTCGGGCAGTGACCGGGAGGGATTATTTCCTCATCGCCCACCCCCATTCCACCCTCTTTTGGAGGGTTTCTGGTTCTACTGCGCATGTGCCAACGTGACCCAATGGTAAGGAGGAGTGAACTATGAAGCATCTCTCCGCCTATCAGAGAGAAGTCTTGTAATTTTCCCGCCTCAAACTCCGCCCCTTGCTTCCAAGCGTCGCCTCAACGCGTTTCCATGGCAACCCGCCGTCTGCTTCAAACCAGAGTACGCTGCTTAGCTTGTCCTTTAACTGGGTAAAAACTGGACTGCAATTCCCACATGCTACCTGGTCCCGATTTTGTTTCTACTCTCTTTCCTCCAGTGCTCAGCGGCCAGAGAAGAGGGCGGGGAAAGAAACACAGATAAGCGGAGATAGGCGTCAGCACAGCCTTCTGGGAAACCGAGTCCCGTTGGCGCGGAGGCTCCTGGGTGGAGGAGCTCGAGGAAGTTCTCGCGACGCCGGAAGTTGTTACAAGGCGCGAGTGGGAGGAGTTGGGTCTGCGTCTTCCTCTGGGCGGGAGTCGCTTCTGTTAACGCGACGGACGGCAGTCTTGAGAGGTGAGGCGACGCCGCAGGTGGGGTCACTGAGTACTCCCAAGGCTTGGGGGCTCGGTTCTTCTTGAGGGGTGACGGAATGCCCACGGGGTGACTTCGGCAAAGGGCGCGCCTTCTGGGGGCGGTGGGTGTCCAGGTGGGGTCTTGACCGCTCTCTGTTCGGAGCGTGTTCTGGGCCGGGCTGTCGCTGAAGTGGTTTCCAGTCCTCACCGGCAGCCCTGAGAGGAGAGGTTACATTTACTTTTGAGTGAGGAGATGGAAGCCGAAGGAGGGGTTCGGTTGCCTGAAGTTGATCGGGCAGATCTGGAGGGATGAATGAATGGGAGTTCTTGAGAAGGGCGAAGCATTTCACATTTGAGCACTTGCTGGGCGCCAGGCGCCGCGCTGTACTCGGATTTCCTCCTGTAATCTCCGCAGCAGCGCCAAGCGCGGTTCTTCGGTTTTATCGGCTCCCTTGGCACCGGGAGCACTTCGGGAATCACAGTTTATCAGAGTTTGGAAAGTTAATAGGGTGCCTATTTCATAGTTAGGCAACGCCTCAGAGCGATCTGGGGCAGTTCTTGGAAATCGATGATTTCTGCCCGGGGAAAGGCGTGAATATTCACACTATATACAGCCTGTGGCAGTTCGGGTTCAGTTTTGCCGCCAATTTACGAATGAATAAGGTTCTGCTTTTCAGAGCTGTTTTGGTTTTTAGAATCACAGCTGCGGGGCTGTGGATCTGTTTTACTTGTCCCATTTCGTACACGTGGAAACCAAGGGTGAATGATCTGCTCTGGTCCCACACTGAGAAGCAGCAAGAGTTCTCAATTCTAGAGCGCTGGATTTGCCAGTCCTGTAATTGTTTGGCTCAAGTTCATTCTGAGAGGCTGGGTGACCTTGAGCCTCACAGTAGGGCTCCAGTTTGTTCTGTCCCAGGGCTCAGAGTGTATGAGATATGGACAGAACGTGATTTGGAAACTGTAGACAGAGGTCCGAAACTCAGATGTCTATGAGGGTGAGGCAGATTAGGTAAAAGAGAGAACCGCCTGGGGGGGGGGGGGGGCCGGAGAGCTGTGGGGCATCAGGGAGCACTTGCCCCACTTAAGGGGGGTAACTTTAGGCCCCAGCTAACAGCTTTGTTAGACTCGGTGAGCCAAATCCTAGAATTTGGCAGAAACTGGAAATCGTTTTTGTTTTTTTTTTTCCTTTTTTTTTTTTTTTCCCCCCGTGGGGGGGGGGGGGGGGAGAGAGTCTTAAGCAGGCCCCATGCTCAATTTCCCAGTTTTCAAGGTTGAGACTACTTAAAATAATTTTCTCTCAAAACCTGCTATCCACCAGCACTGTGAGCAAAAAACCGTATCTGTGGACCAAATTACACCCTCAAGGCGAGACTTAACCTCTGTCATGTGAGGAAAGTCACTGTTGAGTAAACGTTAGCACTTAACACGTCTGCCACATCACCTTACCTGCAATCAAAATCTGGAAAGCCCGGAAGATCACTTTTTCCAGAAGTTTGGTGTCCAGACCTGACCAGAACTACTGGGATTTATAACCTTTCATTATCCTACCTAGAGAGAATATCTATACCCTTCACTCTAAAAATATTGAGGTGTTCAAGTACAAAATGCTGCCTGGCCCACACTGCACTGTGATTTATTTTCTTATTTTTTTAATTAGTTTTTTTTTTTTTTTAATCTTTATTTTTGAGACACAGAGAGAGACAGAGCATGAGCGGGGGAGGGGCAGAGAGAGAGGGAGACACGGAATCTGAAGCAGGCTCCAGGCTCTGAGCTGTCAGCACAGAGCCCGACGCGGGGCTCAAACCCACGAAACGTGAGATCATGACCTGAGCTGAAGTCTGCCGCTTAACTGACTGAGCCACCCAGGCACCCCCACACTGCACTGTGATTTTAATGAAATATATTTGTGTGTGTGTGTGTATCACCTTTTTAAAAATCAGAAAATTTCTTGGGGGGTGTTTGGGTGTCCCAGTCAGTTTAGTGTCCAACTTCGGCTCAGGTCATGATCTCATTTTTGTGAGTTGGAGCCCTGCATCGGGCTCTGTGCTGACAGCTCAGAGCCTGGAGCCTGCTTCGGATTCTGTGTCTCCAGCTCTCTCTGCCCCTCCCCCATGTGCGCGCGCGCTCTCTTTCTCTCTCTCTGTCTCCCCCTCTCTCTCAGAAATGAATAAACATTAAAAAAATTTTTTTAATAAAAATCAGAAAATTTCTGAATTTCAAAGCACATCTGTCCCTAGAAGCTTAACAGTTGTGGACCTGACGTTAAATCATCCTGCTGCTTTGTGATACGGAGTGTTTTCATCACTCTGTAGATAATGTGCCACTTAGGAAATTCACAGTAGCTACCAACGTGTAAGAAGCCCTATGGTACAGGGCACCTGGGTGGCTCAGTTGGTTGAATGTCCGACTTCAGCTCAGGTCTTTGGAGCCCTACGTCAGGCTCTGTGCTGACAACTCAGAGCCCGCTTTGCCCCTCCCCACTCTCACGCACGCATGCTCTCTCTCTCTCTCTCAAAATAAATATTAAAAAAAAAAAGGCCCCATGGTACAGTGTTTTGTATATTATGGGTCATGAAAATAACTCACTGGGCAGTGGCCATAATTTTTTTTTTAATGTTTATTTGTTTAGAGAAGGCACATGTAGAGGAGTGGCAGGGAGGGAGGGAGATCGAGAATCCCAAGCAGGCTCCAGGTTGTCAGCACAGAGCCCAGTGCAGGACTCGATCTCACAAACTGTGAAATCATGACCTAAGCCGTGAGCAAGAGTCAGACGCTTAACCGAGTGAGCCACCCAGGTGTCCTGGCCATAATTTTTTTTTTTTTTAAATGAAGTACAGTGAAAGAGACTAGAATAGAAAAGATCGTAGCACATTCTACTTTGTAAGATTCAGTATTATTTTGTGAAGTTTTGTTTTCGTTTTGTGTGTGAATGGACAGTCATGGTATATGTCTTTGTTACTGTGGGTCATGTTTAAAAAAAAAAAAAGTTGGAGGAATCTTGCTACTGTTGAAAAAATAGTAAAATTTTTGGAGGCCAGCTCACCTGGACTCAAATTCTAGAGCCAGTAATCAGGAATCCCAGAATCCTGGGGCGCCTGGGGTGGCTCAGTCGGCCGGGCGTCCGACTTCGGCTCAGGTCATGATCTCACAGTTCACGAGTTCGAGCCCCACGTTGGCCTCTGCTGACAGCTAGGAGCCTGGAGCCTGCTTCGGATTCTGCGTCTCCTTCTCTTTGCCTGTTTCTCTCTCGAAAATAAATAAACGTTAAAAAAAAGAAAAAGAACCCAGAATCCTCATCCTGGGGGTTCAGTTGGAGAGACACTGTGTTCTGCCAACAAACGTTCCAAAAGTGCCTACTGTACGTCAAGGGTCGTGTCGTGCTGAGACACGGTCGCGAGCAAGACCGAAGGTCCCACCCAGGTGACCGACCTTAATCGCCACCTCTCCCAAACGTTGATTTATTGACTGTAATAAGTGCCAAGAAGGGTCATGAAGTTGCCTGTGGGCCCCGAAGCACAGTGGAAATGAGGGGCGTGGAGTAGTTTCGGCCGATACAGAAGTGTTGTTGTGATCCCCGCAGGGAGACTCCCATCCTGACTCATCCTCCTACTTCCGGACATTCTGGGGGCTCATCCGGCATGGCCAGGGAGCCAGCCCTAGAAGGAAGGGAGACTTTCTCCCGGCTCCCTTGTGTCTCCTGCGGCTCTGCCAGACAGGAACATGGAGGGGACGGAGAGGGATCTTAAGTGAGAACTCCGGCCACCGAGTCCCAGTCGGCTACCACCAAGGTGAGTCGAGGGCCCCTTGTCCAGGCCCCATGCCCTGAGGCTGCATGGCCGGCCGGCCTTTATTCTGGGCTCACTGACCCACGGTGACCCCCAGGTGATCCTCTTGTTACGCTGTCGCTCTCCTGCTCAGCACCCTTCCAGGCATCCTTTCTGCTTAGAAGATCAAACCCAGGTTTCCCAGCCCAGTCCTGTACGACCTGAGTCCTGCCGCCTTCCTCAGCGTCTCCTCCGGTTCCCTCCATAACCCAAACTCCCTTCCTGGCCTGGTGGTAAACTGTTACACTGTGGTTGTCAGATTCCCAGCCTTTGCTCGGGCTCCTCCCTCTGCTAGAATACCCTACCCGCCATCTCCGGCCGGTCTTACGCAGCCTTCAAGACCCAGCTCAGCCCCCACCTTGCATGGGCAATGAGCTCTTCCCTGCTCCGGCCTCATCATAGCACAAATCACCTGGCTGTGGTTGTCCCCTGCCCCCGTCTATCAGCCCCACCAGACGAGGTGCTCCTTGGAGACAGGTACTGATTGGGCCTCGCCTCTGGGCCCCCAGGGACCAGCGTGGGCCCAGTACACAGCGGTCCTTGAGGTGTTTCTTGAATGATGAATGAAAACCTTCCTCTACCACCGATACCTGCTTATCCTTAATGACCCAACTTGAATATCTGCCCCAACCAGGAAGCTTTTCCTGACTCCAAGGCAATGTCCTCATGCCCGTCCCTGGCCACACAGTCCTGGATACTGCCCTCTGTCACAGCCCTATCTCCTTATGCTCACTGTCAGCATCCCTGGGTGTCCCCTGTAGGCCAGGGAATGGGTTTGACACCTCTCTGCCTCCAGCATCCTCCGAGGGGTCTGGCACACGGGAGAAATGACTGTTGAACGAATACATGCTCTGACCTTGTCACTGTCCTGTATAAAACTCTCTGTGGCTCCCCAGTGCCCCACGGATCAAGACCAGGGTCCTCCCACACCCCCACCGCTATTTCCAGCAAAATCAAGGAGTCCAGGGAAGGAAGCTTCTTGGGGCTCTCTGATCTGGCTCCTGCTGACAAAGCCTCTTTGGCTGATCCCTTCTGACCGGGTATAGACAGCAACAGTTTCAGCCACAAGTAACAGAACACTTGGCTCAAAGCAATTTAAACAGTCAATGGATTATATAGAACACATAACCAGAAAGGCCAGAGCCGGCCTGATCCGCCAGCCCACTCAGTGTGATCGAGACCCAGTGTATTGTCCCCATCTCTCAGCCCCACCTCCTATTGGTTCCATCCTTGATGAACTCCTTCCCTTGTCCCAAAACAGCTGCCAGGATCACCATGTCCCCACATGCCTCCTACATGAAGGCTTTGTTCTGGGTGCTGGGTCTACTCGCTAGGGAACCAACTGATGTGGTCCCTGCCGTCATGAGCTCACATGTTATTGGCGGGGTAACACCGTATTTGTTTGCTAGGGCTGTTGTAACAAAGTGCCTTGAATGATAGAAATTTATTATCTTGGCTCTGGAGGCTAGAAGTATGAAGCCAAGGTGTCAGCTGGGCTCCTTCCTTTTGGAGGCTGCAGGGGAGAACCCCTTCCTTGCCTCTTCAGCTTCTAGAGATGCCTGTGTTCCTTGACTCGTGGCCACGTCACTCCAACCTCTGCTTCTGTCATCACATCACCTTCTCCTACCTTTGACTCCTTCTGTCTCATTTTTTTTCTAAATATTTATTTTATTTATTTATTTATTTATTTATTTTTAACGTTTATTTATTTTTGAGACAGAGAAAGACAAAGCATGAACGGGAGAGGGTCAGAGAGAGGGAGACAGAATCTGAAACAGGCTCCAGGCTCCAAGCTGTCAGCACAGAGCCCAACGCGGGGCTTGAACTCACGGACCACGAGATCATGACCTGAGCCGAAGTCGGCCACTCAACCAACTGAGCCACTCAGGCACCCCCTAAATATTTATTTTTGACAGAGTGCACAAGCAGGGTAGGGGCAGAGAGAGAGAGGGAGACACAGAATCCGAAGCAGGCTCCAGATCCTGAGCTGTCAGCACAGAGCCCGACGTGGGGCTCCAACCCATGTACTGTGAGATCATGACCTGAGCCGAAGTCGGATGGCCGACTGAGCCACCCAGGCACCCCCCTTCTGCCTCTTATAAAGGTACAAGAAAAAAAAAAAAAGATATGAGATTGTCATGATCGTGACAATCAGGGGCCACTGTGATCATCCAGGGTAACCTCCCCATCTGAGGATCCTTAACTTGTCACACCTGGGAAGTCCCTTTTGCCATACAAGGTGACATTCACAGGTTCTGGGGATTAGAATGTGGATGTCTTTGGGGAACCATGATGTCTAAGGTTTAAAAGGGTATCTCGAACTTAACCTGTACCAAACCAGACTCACACTGTGCCCCAAAACCTGCTTCTCCCCTGTCTCAGGCAGCGGCAGCTCTGTCCTTCCAGTGCTCAGGCTAAAATCTTACGGATGTCTGGGCTCCTGTCTGTCTTTCATTACATTTGCTCTCTTGGGAGACGTTGTCCCCAGCAGTGTCAAAATGTCCACATCTTGGGGCACCTGGGTGGCTCAGTCAGTTGAGCGTCCAGCTTTGGCTCAGGTCATGATCTCGCGGTCTGTGAGTTCGAGCCTCACGTCAGGCTCTGTGCTGACAGCTCAGAGCCTGGAGCCTGCTTGGGATTCTGTGTCTCCCTCTGTCTCTGCTCCTCCCCCACTTGTGCACACGCGCTCTCTCTCTTTCTCTCCCTCTTTCAAAAATAAATAAACGTTTAAAAAAAAAAGGCCATATCTCACCTTTTCACACCCCTTCCATCCCTGTTCTCCTTTCTCGCCTGAATCATGGAATTCACCTTTTTCCTCGTCTCCCTGCCTCTGCCTTTCCACCTTTTATGTTTTTCCACGTAGTGGCCAGAGGAGGATCCTGGTTAGAATATGCTTAATCAATTTGCTTACTTTTTTAAGAATATTTGTATTGTAAAATCAAGCACAAACATAGAAACCCACGGCGGGTTTCTGTTACGTGCAGATCTCTACTGTGTGTGTTAGAAAATTTCCATAGTAAAAACTTAAAATCTTGAATGAACGCTAAAAAGCAAAAGCCAAAGTAAGTAGATTTTAGGAACAGGCCGACGTGCATTTAAGTCCTGCCTGTGTGACCCTAAGGGGAACGCACGTCCCCTCTCCGAAACTCCATATCTTGCCTACAAAATATGGGGATGCCCGGTGTCCTATGTCTCAGGGCTCCCACGAGAAGATTTTTGTCAAAGACCTAGTACATGGAGGGCAGGGTGCATCAAGTGAGCCGTTGGGTCCATCGCTGACCCCAGTCCCACGGTCACTGACAGTGTATCACATTTCAGGAATTTGTGACCCACAGGGATGTAGCCATGGACTTCACCTTGGAGGACTGGGAGCAGCTGGGGCTGGACCAGGGGGACCTGTTCTGGGACACGGCGCTGGACAACTACCAGAACCTTTTCCTGCTGAGTGAGTGTCCACTCCAGCCCCGGCGGCCCGGTCCCTGCCCTGCTTTTGGCTATTGTCACCCACAGGATAAATTCTCGGCTCCTGAAAGCCTCAGAGCTGGCATGATGTAGCCCAGCAGTGCTCGGCTGGCCAATTCTGCCCCCCCCCCCCCCGGGGGCACTGGCAGTGCCTGGTGACCTTTTTGATTGGTCTGCACTTAGGAGCAGGGGGTGTGCACCTGGCGTCTCATGGGTAGAGCCCAGGGTCGCCGCCACATGTCCGGGAATGCAAGGGCAGCCCCTACAGCCGAGGATTATGTCACTAGTGTCACTAGTGCCGAGGCTGAGAAACGCCATCAGCCACCCGCCTGCCACTCTGGCCTCCTTAGCGCTTTCCTCTTCGTCCTTGTGGGGCTGACGCTCAGGGTCTTTGCATTTGCCTTCCTGTCTCGCCCCCTCCCTGCCTCTGGGCTTTCCTTTTTTAAGACTTCTACCGCGACCTGTTAGCAAGTCCTCTGTCCCGTGCCCCACCGGCCCACGACTCCTGCGCTTTCGAACTGCCCATTTTATACTCTGTCTCCCTCTGCTGGGACGGGCACTTCCTGAGGGTGGGGACTCACTGAATGGTGGCTCAGTAAACGAACGAGTAGCAGGAGTCACCGGCTCAGGAGCCGGGTCTCATGCTGGGTCAGCGCTTAGAACTGGCCTTCGGTCCTGCCATCACCCCACAAGTCCGACTCCCTGTTTTGCTGGTCCTTTTAAAAACGAGGTCCAAAGAGAAGTCACCTTCCCAGCTATGCGGGGGTTCCCGGAAGTACCCTGTGTTCAGTGACTTACGAGGAGGGGACTTGAAGGACTCAGCATGTGGTCGTACTCACGGCCGTGACATGTTACAGAGAAAGGACACAGCATGGGCGGCAAAGGGGAAACCAGAGCCGGCCTCCAGAGCCCTCTCCCTGCGTGGAGTCCCACACGATCGTAATGAGGGACAAATGGTGTGAAATGTCTACTGGAGATGCTCACTGGAAACTCAGCACCCACAGTTTTTATTGGAGCTGGTCACACAGGCACCCTCTGCCTGGAAAGTACCAAAATTCTAGACTCCCAGCCGGAAAGCAGGTGTTCAGCATGATAGTTGAGGCACGGGGGGCCCCTCTGTTCGGGAATGCTGGAACCCTCCCGAGATCCAGGTTCCCAGACACCAGCTGAGGGCCAGCCTCCCAGATTTTTCTCTAAACTCTACTGAGCATGTGCGGCAGAAGCAGCTTCGGGGCGGCTCAGACCTCAGCGTCTTTTCTATTTCTAAACTACATCCCACAGTATAGGCACGTCTCCCTTGAGCCCCCGCACACGCTTGTGTGTATGTCCAAGCAGCGTATTAGCTTCCTACGGCTGCTCTTAGAAATGCCACAAACAGCAGCTTAAAACAACGCGTTTATTCTCCGACGGTTGTGGAGGTCGGAAGTCTGAAACGGGTCTGACCCGGCTGCGGTCAGGCTGTTGGCAGGGCTTGTTCCCTCTGGAAGCTCCAGGGAAGAGTCTTGTGCCTTTGCCCTTTTCTGGCTTCTAGAGGCGCCTGCATTGCTTGGCTCGTGGCCTTTCCATTTTCAAGCCAAGAAGGCGCTTTTCCTCCACGGTAGCACAGTTCCCCAGGATTAGGATTCTGCTTCCTTCCTCGAGTAGTTTGCCGAGGGCAGGGCACAGGACCGCCTGGGCTCTGGGAACCCAGCATATTCCACAGAGGCCTTGGGTGATGTGGGCTCCGTGGGTGGATGAGAGGGTGCGTGCCTCTCCACCTGGCAGGCTGCTCATCCCTCAAGAGCTGTCGCAAGTCCTTTGTATCCCCGGCCCTGGCTTTCACAGCTCTGATCACCCTGGACTGTGACTGTCTGGGTCTCTCTCCTCCACCAGACTGGGAACCCTACAGGGCAGGTGTCCCCGGAGTTGCCTAGAGCGGCATTTGGCTCTCACGAGCTGTACACTGGACAAAGCACTGATGGTCAGGACAGCCAGAAGGTTCCCGCTAAGCAGTCGGCTGGCCTGCCGTGTCCTGGTTGATGACAGCGCTCTTCTCTCCCTGCAGACCCCTGCAAACCCAAACTGACCTCCTGTCCAGATGGTGGCGAAGAGCTGGAGGCCGTGGTCAGAGAAAGCCCAGAATCAGAGGGCCTTGGTGAGTGGGTGGGGCGGGGGCCGGTGGGACAGGGCCCTTTGTCTGCCCTCCGTCTTTAGAACTTCCATCCGGACCCCAAACGTCTGCCTAGACATCTTGCCCCTCTGCCACGTGCTGGCTTCTGTCCCCTCATCCCGGCAGGGCTGGGGCCCTCGTCTTGTCTACCTCAGTGTTCGGCATGTGGTTGTCCTGGTGCCCTGAGTCAGTCTCTCCACCTTCATGTCCTGTGCCCTTTGAGCACCATACATCCCCAGTCTGTTTCACCCTGTGTTTGTACAAGTCTGTCCCGGAGGGCACAGCAGATGGCCACATCTGCTAATAACTCAAGCCCAGGCCTTAATGCAGCCAAGAGCATTTGTTCCGTTCTCTCCTAGGCCACAGTTCCTCTAGAGGGAACAGGTTAGGCAGCGAGGGTGTCACGCTGGTTGACGTGTCCCCAGTGGGAAAAGGCAGAGGCAGGGGCCTTCCCTGGGGCGCGGGACACTTTCCTCACGGTCAGGTCATTAACATGAGAAGGGCCCCTGAGTCAGAGACCACAGCGTGGTGGCTGCGTGGCTCAGTCCGGGCCTCCGCTCACCTCTCGTGAGCTCGCAAATGCGGACCCTCCGTGGCCTCCCGACGAGCACACCAGTGTTTGCGCGCAGGTGACCAGCACGGACCCCTGCCACCTCTACAACATATGGGGGCGCCCAGGTGGCTCAGCCGGTTAAGCGTCAACTCTGGGTTTCGGCTCGGGTCATGATCTCACGGTTTGTGAGTTCAAGCCCCACACTGGGCTCAGTGCTGATAGCATGGAGCCTGCTTGGGATTCTCTCTCTCCCTCCCTCTCTGTCGCTCCCCTGCTCACTCACGCTTTCTCTCTCTCAAAATAAAGAAATAAATAAATACTAAAAAAAGAAATACATGCTCTTTCCAGAACCGCGTAGCCACGCCTTTACCAACCAAATCTGTCCTCCAGCAGTTATATCATTTCTACCTTCTTCCCCGTTGAACAGCGCCCTTCTCCGAGAAGTGGGCCGTGGCTGATGGGGGCAACGGCATCTGCTAAGAGGCTCCCCTTCCCTGTGGAGCCCCCGCGGCTGCCCAGCTCCCCACTTAACCATCTTGGAAATGGGCTCTCTGTTTCCTGTGCTGCCAGTTCCAGCCGGGTCACCACTTTGGCCCCTTCTCCTTCATCATCCCCTCGAGGGACAGGCTTCCTGAGGAGCCATCACCCGTTCTCCCTCTTGTCTGTGTTCTCACCCTGCAGCTCCTTATGTTTCGCCGCGGGGAACGGGAGACACCTGCACTTACCCTCTCTCGGACATGGCCGAAGTCAAGAACTGCCCTCTGGCACAAGACTTCTTGGAGGAAGGACTCTCCCAGGAGATCATGGAGACTTTGTCCAAGGATGGCCTCGGGAACTCCAGTCTGGGGAAAGCCTATGTAGGTGAGAGTTGGTTAGACAGTTTGCTAGGAGATCCAGAAAGCCTTCTGAAGTCTGACGTTGTTACCAACAAGGGAAGTCCCACAGAATGCAGGAGTCGCGAACTCCAGAGAGACCCAGGTCCTGAGCCCCTCCTTTCCGTGAGGGAGGATTCTGTGATGCGTGATCTTCCTGAAAAGAGCCCAGCTAAGTCTCAGGAACGTGGGAAAGACTTTGGCTGTGACTTAGACCAGAGCCAGCAGGATCCTGTCCAGGGAGGCGAGAAACTGTATAAATGTAGTGAATGTGGGGAGAGCTTCAGTCAGAGTTACCATCTCATCCAGCACTGGATTGTTCATACTAAAGAGAAACCCGCTGTGCACGAAGAGTATGAGGAAGGTTGCAGCCAGAGGTCTTGCCTCTTTGTGCCCCTGACAACTCACACAGACTACAAATCCTGTGCGTGTAACGAGGGCGGGAAAACCTGCACTCAGAGCACACACTTTCTGTGGCATCAGAAAATTCACACTGGAGAAGAACCACATAAGAATCAAGACAGTGACCCTCCGTCAGGTCTCAGCTTACAGCCTGCTGAGCAGCAGAAACCCTATGCAGGTGATGAGTCCTACAAAGGTAACGAGCCTGGCGAGGGTTTCAGCCAAACCTTTCACCTCACCCAGCATCAGCAGACCCACACTCAGAAACGCTATGAATGTGCCAAATGCAAGGCGACCTTCAACTTCAGCAAATACCTCCTCCAACATCAAAAAACCCATGCTACGAAAACTACCTCTGAGCATCAGGAATGCGGGAAGGCCTTCGGGCAGAGCATGCTGCTCGCTGAACACCAGTCCATTCACACCGGAGAAAAGCCTTACGAGTGTGATCAGTGTGGGAGGCCCTTCAGGAATATCTCGACCCTAAAGGTCCACCAGAGGGTTCACAGTGGAGAGAAGCCTTACAAATGCAATGAGTGTGGGAAATCCTTCTACCGGAGCACTCACCTTAATGAACATCAGAGGATTCACACCGGCTACAGGCCCTACAAGTGTCATCAGTGCATCAAGAGTTTCAGCCGGCCCTCCCACCTGATTCGACACCAGTCTGTTCACGCCACAGGCGAGTCCTACTGCTGTGCCAGATGCAAGAAAACCTTCAGCCATAATGAATACCTTGTTCAACACCAGAAAATGCATGCTATGGAGACCCTCCACGAGTGTCAGGAGTGTGGCGAGCGCTTCTTCTGCAGCTCGACCCTAGCATGCCACCAGAGTGTTCACGCCAGAGAAAAACAAGCACTTGGCGAGAGCGGGAGTATCTTGAGTCAGGACTCAGAATGGAGAGAACATCCAGGGGTTGGCGAGAAGCACTTTAAGTGTAGCAAATGCGAGAAAACCTTCAGCTGCAGCAAATATCTGACTCAGCACGAGAGGGTTCACACCAGAGTGAAACCCTTTGAGTGTGACCAGTGTGGAAAAGCCTTTAGCAAAAGTACACAGCTCCTTCGCCACCAGAACATCCACTCTCGAGTGAGGCCGTATGAATGTAGGGACTGCGGGAAGGCCTTCATCCGCAGCACTTCCCTCACCAAACATCAGGCCACCCACAAGAGTGAGCACCCCTTTACATGTAATGAATGTGGAAAGACCTTCAGCCAAAGTGCACACCTCTCAGAACATCAGTTAACTCACACTGAGGAGAAGAAACTCTGTAACTATAGCAAGTGTGACAAAGCCCTTGCCCAAGGTAACTGCCTTACTCAGCATCAGAGAACTGACGCCGGAAAGAAGTCCTTTGAGTGTGATGAATGCGACAAATCATTCCATTTGAGTTCGTGCCTTTCTAAGCATCAGAGAGATCACACAGGTGAGAAACCCCACAAATGCAGTGACTGTGAGAAAACCTTCAGCCTGGGTGCTCAACTTCTTCAACACCGGAGAGTTCACACTGGAGAAAAGCCTTATGTTTGTCAGAAATGTGGGAAAGCTTTCAGCCAGAGCTCATGCCTTTCTGTTCACCAGCGAGTTCACACTGGAGAAAAGCCTTATGTTTGTCAGGAATGTGGGAAAGCCTTCAGCCAGAGCTCGTGCCTTTCTGTTCACCGGAGGATTCACACCGGGGAGAAGCCTTACGTGTGTGCTGAATGTGGGAAAGCCTTTTCCCAGAAAGCAAATCTGATGCAGCATGAGAGAGTTCACACTGGGGAGAAGCCTTATGCCTGCAGGGTCTGTGGGAAAGCCTTTGGCCTCAGCGCCCATCTCAGTCAGCACCAGAGGGTCCACACCCAAGAGAAACAGTAGTAATGTCAATATTGTCAGAAAGCCCTCTGATGCAGGTCTCAGCAGACATCAGCAAGTTCATACTTGAAGGTAACAAGGAGTTACTTAGCAGTAAGTGACAAGTAGCAATACTACAAGGTCCCAGCAGCAGCAACAGGGTCCCAGACATCTAAACACATTCGTCTGGGCCCCAAGGTTGAAACCATCGCACTGTAGGCTCCTCCGCCACGAAATAAATACATCTCTTTATTAATAAGGAGCAATTAGAAAATTTGCACACATGAGTCTCATGAAAACACAGTAGTGGAGAAGCTGTGTAGAATGGCAATTCAGTGGTAGACTTGAGCCAGTCAGCTGAGTTATACCCCAGCTCTGCCATGTGCTATCCGCGGGGAGAGCCATGGGACTTCCTAGGGCCTCCGTGTCCTCACCTGTAAGATTGGCACAATATGGTTACCTACCTCAGAAGGCTGTTGTGAGGATAAATGAATAGAGATAAAGGTGCACTTAGAACTTACTGAGTGCCCAGCACATAGTAAGTACTTACCAAATGTGAGCTACAAGTACTCACGAGATACAACAAATATATTTAAAAAAAAAAAAAAAAAGGAAGAGTTAGCAATCCTCTATTTACTGCAGTTAATGTTCTTACTAATACTATGCACGGCTTTCATTTAAAGTTTTCCTTCAAAACGCCTCTGGCTAAATTTGGTCCCCCAAACCCAGCACCTTGCTCTTTTCTTTAAAAAAAAAAAAAAAAAAAGGGCGGGGGCGGAGGGAGACGGGGTGCCTAGGTGGCTCAGTCGGTTGGGCATCTGACCTTGGCGCAGGTCATGATCTCCCAAGTTCATGGGTTGAGCCTCGTGTCGGCCTCTGTGCTGACAGCTCAGAGCCTGGAGCCTGCTTCGGATTCTGTGTCTCGCTTTCTGTCTGCCCCTCCCCTGCTTGCACTGTCTCTCTCAAAAATAAATAACCATTAAAAAAATTTTTTCAGTCTAACTTTTGCTTCCCTCTGCTCTGTCGCAGTATTTTCTTGACTCACCCACAGAAGCCAACAAGAGCATGTAAACTAACACCAAATAGCTAGAACTTTCCACTCCTAACCTCCAGAACGTCTCACTCCAAAGGACGTTCTCCCACATAACACGTGCCCCTTCTTCCTGTAATTTTCTTCCCCCGTTTAAAGTTGGATCTGTGGAATGAGACCTAGTGTGTGGTGGGAGTTCCTCGTACTGGAAACCATGGGATTCAGTTGGGAAAGCTGCACTGGATGTTGCCACGCGGTTCCCAGAAGATGTGCTCGATGGTGAAGACCGTGTATGGAAACTACTGGCGGAATGTTCCTCATGCACCGTTTATCCAAGAGCCAACCACTCACCAGGTGCCCTGCCAGGCTCCGGGGTGGGCAATACCAACACGGCAAGCCCTGGTCTGGCTGCGAAACTCCTGGAATCAAAGGGAAGCGGGTGGCCCCATTTCCACAGAGAGGTACTGTTCATTGACAAGTGACATCCTAAAATGCCACATTCCCTCCTGTCACAGCAAGTTCTGGGACCGTGAAGGGTTGCTGGAGAGCCCAGGGAGGGCCCCATCCTTCCTGCTGGAGCCTTCAAGTCGACAGGTCAACCTTGGCCAGGCCTGTTCTACAGCTAAGACGCCACATGGAACCATGTGCCCTCTTGAGGGCACCTCCTCAGCTCTGGGTTTTTGTGTCCCACCCACTGAGTGACCTCGTCCCATGTCTGCTGAAGCACAAAGAGAACTTTATGAAGACACTGACACTTTTGGTATCATTCATAGTTTTGGTGCTAAAAAAGTTTAGGAGTATGTGCTCTGAGTTCTTGAGTCTTTTAAACCTTGAAACTGGGGTGCCTGGGTGGTTCAGTCAGTTAAGCATCTGACTTTGGCTCAGGTCATGATCTCATGGTTCGTGAGTTCGAGTCTCATATCGGGTAAGCCCACACCCCACTTCTGCTGAGCTCAAGCCCCACTTTGGGTGAGCCCAGCATCTCCCCTCCCCCATTCTGCCCCTCGCTCACTTGTGCCCACTCCCTTTCAAAAAAAACACAAAAAACCTTGCACTTTGAGTTCTGCCGGTTGGTTTTGTTGTTGAAACTGGGAACCTACACGCTCGCCACTGGGCCCACACCACAGCAGGGAGCATATGGGTTTTCAAAGGGCCAAAACACTGAACTCCCTGCACCTGGTCCCTGCCCCCAGATCACTGTGTAGTCTGGGCGAGACCCATTCTATACCACAGGGCAGGCCAGAGGCGGGAAACGTGTTCAACGAGAGTTTTGACACCAAAGATGGAGGTCAGGGGTCCTGTGGAAAATTGGGAACGTGGCGGGCGGACTCTGTAACTACTGACCTGTGTAGCTGTGGGCCAGCGTAGAGATGGCTTTTATGTGTATGTGTTTGTTCGCCGATTAAAGTTTTGAGTCTGTATGCGTTGGTTGCTTTTTTCAGCCTGGTGCCGCGTACCTGGCCAGATGCTGGGCGTGCAGAGGCTCCCATTCGGGGCAAGTGCCCGCGTTGTGGGGGAGGAGGGCTTATCCTAGTAAAAGCTGCCCCATGAGGAGGGATGGTCACGTCCATTTTCCCAAAGTGTCGGTGGGGCAGGGGCCACCGGGGAACCATACAGTTTCAGCCGGTCCTCAGATACCTCATCAGACAACACTTCATTCTAGCACGATCCTGACTGACGAGGAAGCACGGACAGCCTGTCGTTCTCTCCTCTCTAGTTACAAAAACACAGCAGTCCTCAAGCTCAGGCGATCGTTGGAGCTAGAAATTAATCTTACTTTCCTCTCTTGGTGTTTATTTTAGTTCCCCACCCCGCCCTTTCTGTAATGACCAGAGATGCTAGTTTCCCACTCAAGGGCAGTAGTAGAAAGCCCTCTTGAGAAATAAATTGATTTGGGGTGCCTGCCTGGCTCAGTCGGAAGAGCATGCGACTCGATCTCGGGGTTGTGAGTTTGAGCCCCATTATAGGTGTAGGGGTTACTAAAAAAATAAAGTTACTTAAGTAAAAAAGTGAGCTGGTTTAAAGGGAAATGCATGGCACGCGTTTATGACAAAAAATGGACAGTGGTGTCCAACTGAATGAGGTGGGGAACGCGAATGTGACTAAGGCCTGGCATCCTGTCAGCAGATAACCATCGCCGGGATAATTGTGTCAGGACGAACCAGATTAATGCTGTGGCTGAACAGGTTTCACTCACCCGTGCTACGTGTCCACTGCGGATCGGTGGCGGTGGGGAGGGGGTGGGGCTGGAACTCGATCCACTAGAGAGGCCAGGCTTTCCTTTTTGAGTCTGTGCATCCTTCAGGTCACCTGAGTGAGGAAGCAGCTTCAACACCTTGCATTTCCCCGTCTCCCCCTTCAGGCAGAGCAGGACTCCGGCTCTGCCCTGGGGCGGGGGGGACAACGCAAAGTTTTTGCTGCATTTTACTTACGGCAAACTTCCATTCATGGCAAGTGATACTGGTTGTCCACTCGCAGTTGTGCTTGAAAGGCTTAAGGGGTGTTGATTGAAATAGGTGGGTGAGGAGGGTCCTGGCGCAGGCAGCTGGTGTCTCGGGCGGGCAGAAGGTGGCCATTCTGTGGAACCCAAGCCGGTGGCGGCATGCGGACACCTAACGTTGAGAAGATCCTGCTCTAGGAAAACGACCTAGGAACCCACTGTATAAAAAAAGATGAAGGTGGGGGCGCCTGGGGGGCTCCATCGGTTCAGCGTCCGACTTCGGCTCAGGTCACAATCTCACGGTTTGTGGGTTCGAGCCCCGCGTCGGGCCCTGTGCTGACAGCCCGGAGCCTGCTTCGGATTCTGTGTCTCCCTCTCTCTGCCCCTCCCCCACTCATTCTTATTCTCACACTCTCTCTCTCTCAAAAATAAACATTAAAAAAGATGAAAGCGGATGTGCCCTGGCCGAAGGGGTATGAGGAACACCACCACCCCCCCCAACCGCCGCAGCCCCGGGGCACAAACCTCTCTGAGGGGCTTTCGGATGCTCCCTTGGAAAGAACACGAAGCCCTTTGACAATATCCCAGGCTGGGTTGATCACCGAGATCTGAGCACCCGGCAGAAATCTTGTGGTGCTCCCTGCCGGGGGGACTCCCCAGGAGGCTGGGAAGAGCAGTACTCCTGAAGGAAGTGGCTCTCCACCTTGTGCCACCGTGACCCAAGTGACCAATCCCCCGTGCACCTCACGGACACCGGGGTACAAGATAAAAGCTGTTGGCGCCACCGGTTACAGCGAACGCCTATCACTCACCTTTCTGAGATCCACCCTTCGCCTCCCCGGCAGCCCTGTCTTCTCTTGGCGACACATGTAGTTCGGCATCCCCCCGTATTCCCTCCCTGTTCTACGCAAAGGATATATGGCCTAGTTTGGCCAGCCAGCCATTCCCTCCTTCCGCCACTGTGATTGATGCAGAGATGGGCATGACCCAAGCTGGGCCAAGCACAGTGACTCTCGGAACCTTTGCTGAGGGGCGCCTGGGTGGCTCACTGGGTCAAGCCAATGACTGTTGTTTGTTTTTTTTTTAATTAAAAAAGGGTTTTTTTAATGTTTATTTTTGGGAGAGAGAGACAGAGTGTGAGCGGGCAAGGGGCAGAGAGAGAGGGAGACACAGAATCCAAAGCAGGCTCCAGGCTTCGAGCTGTCAGCACAGAGCCCGACGCGGGGCTTGAACCCATGAACTGCAAGATCATGACCTGGTCTGAAGGCAGACGCTTAACCGACTGAGCCACCAGGCACCTCTAAGTGTATGACTTCTGATTTCAGCTCACGTCATGATCCCACAGTTCGTGGGGTCGAGCCCCACGTAGGGCTCTATGCTGACAGAGCGGAGCCTGCTTAGGATTCGCTTTCTCTCACAAAGTAAATAAAACATTTATTTTTTTAATGGTTTTAAACTTATTTTTGAGAGAGCGGGAAAGGGGCAGAGAGAGGGGGACAGAGGATCCAAAGCAGGCTTTGTGCTGACAGCAGCAGGCCCAACGCGGGGCTCAAGTTCACGAACCGCAAGATCATGACCTGAGCTGAAGTCGGATGCTCAACCGACTTAGCCACCCAGGCATCCCAATAAATAAAACATTTTTTTAAAAAGCGTCTGACTCTTGATTTCCACTTGGGTCGTGGTCTCATGGTTTTGAGATCAAGTCCCGCGTTGGGCTCTGTGCTGGGCGTGCAGCCTGCTTGGGATTCTCTCTCTCCCTCTGCCCCTCCCCCTTCCTCTGTCAGAAAAAAAAAAAAAAAAAAAAAAAACCCACGAGGCAGTTGCTGGTGCAGCCACCTAGAGCTGCTAGGGATGTTAGTGGACGAAACAGTGCCCAGAACTCACACTCATCTGGAAACAACGTGGCCTTATTTGGAAATAACGAATAAAGGATTGAGATGAGATCATACTGGGAGTCGGGTGAGCCTGAGAACCTACTATATTCTACGCAGTGCTCTAGGTGCTGGGGACATAGTGGAAAGACACACGGACCCAGCCTTCAGGGTGTCAGGGAGCAAGCGGTCAACAGGAGACCTGTCACAGGAAATTATGATATGTGCTACAAAGTAAACGGGCAAGGGGCTGAGACAGAAACAAAAGGGCAACTCTGATCAGGAAATAAAATGATTTGAGAACGTAAATATGCAATAAACACCATATAAACCTCAAGTGCACTGTAAAGAAATACAGTAAAACCTTGGTTTGCAGGCATAATTCATTCCGGAAACGCACTTGTAACACAAAGCACTTGTATAGCAAAGCGACTTTCAAGAACCATTGGCTCAGTTGTGATCATGTGACAGTCAGCATCCCACAGCTCACGTTGCAAGACCTCGCTCATTTATCAAGTTAAAATTTATTAGAAACGTTTGCTCGCCTTGCGGAACACTCGCAGACCAGGTTTACTCGCAATCCAAGGTTTTACCGTGTTAACGTATGTATAGAAGCTGAAGGTTGCCTACCTGTAGATTTATTCTTTCCAGTGTTTATGACAATCTGAGTTGGGGTTTTCTTTTACTTGCCGTTGAAGGCATCCAGAAGTGCCAGGATAAACAGGATGAATGCCTTGCTTTGGGTCCTTTTGGCTACTTGGGTAAGTATATTATCCCTATGGTTTGAGCTATTTTGAGTTTTCTGTACTTGAAACCCAGGCATCCTTGGTAATATAGTCTTAAACTATTCTGGTTTAAAAAAAAAAAATAAGGAAGCTGGATCAGACAACAAGACTAGCAAAGGCAAGAATAAAAATTAGCTTCGTATGGGGAGCCTGGATGGCTCAGTCAGTTAAGCGGCGGACTTTGGCTCAGGTCATGATCTCACAGTTCATGGGTTTGAGCCCCACATTGGGCTCTGTGCTGACAGCTCAGAGCCTGGAGCCTGTTTCGGATTCTGTGTCTCCCTCTCTATCTGCCCCTCCCCTGCACGTTCTGTCTCTGTCTCAAGAATAAATAAACATTTAAAATTTTTTTTTAATTAGCTTCGTTTAATTATGTATTGTTTTTTATTTTTGGGACAGAGCACAGGCAGGGGAGGGGCCGAGAGAGAGGGAGACACAGAATCCGAAGCAGGCTCCAGGCTCTGATCTGTCAGCACAGAGCCCAACGTGGGGCTCAAACTCACGAACTGTGAGATCATGGCCTGAGCCAAAGTTGGACGCTTAAATGACTGAGCTACCCAGGTGCCCCAAAATTAGCTTCTTTTATACTAAAATTATACGTATTCCACATTAGTATGTTAGTTAAGGGGTGGGAGTGAGTCTTTGTGAAGGGAGTGGGCTAAATGTGCTGAGAAAGGTACCTACATCGAGGAATACATTATGAGGAGGGGCTTAAAGATGCTACCCTACTGGCTTTGAACATGGAAGGGGCCACCAGCCAGGGAATGCAGGTGGCCTCTAGAAACTGAAAATTCATACCATAAGACGTGTTCAAAAATGCAGATGGAGGGGCACCTACGTGGCTCAGTTGGTTGAGTGTCCGGCTTCGGCTTTGGTCATGATCTCATGGTTCATGAGTTCCAGTCCCACATTCGGCTCTCTGTTGTCACCACGGAACCCACTTCAGATCTTCTGTCCCTGTCTCTCCCCCTGCTACACCTCCCCTGCTTGTGCACTCTCTCTTTCAAAACCAAATAAACATTTAAAAAAACAAAAATTAAAATGCAGATGGAATAAAAATTTAATTGTCAAAAAGTCATAAAAGTACGAGAATAAAATATAGGATAATCTTTTTCATAATCTTGGGGGTGAGGAAGGCCTTCCTTAAGTAGGCTGATAGTAGGCCAAAGAACTATAAGAGACAATACAAATAGATTTGAATACCTAAAGATTTTTAAATTCTGTATAGCAAAATACATCACAAACAAAATTGAAAGAGCAACAACAAATCAGGGGAAAATATTTCTAATGTATATGCCAAAAGGTGAATATGTGTAATACATAAAGACCTGTTCCTATAAATCAATATAAAAAAGCAGCCCAATTAAAAGTGGGCAAAACACAGAAAAAAGCAATTCAAAGGCTAAACGTCAACAAACACATAAAAGACCATTAATCTCACTATTGAGAGGACATATTTACTTATTAGAAATATTTTTAAAAGGCTAATAGTGCGTGATTTTTGAAGAAAATGGGGGAACAAGTAGGCATTTGTATACACTTCCAGGAGTCCTGTAAATTGGTTCATCCTTTTTTGGAGGATTATTTAGCAATAATTATCAAAATTTTAAACATGGACATTATATGGTCCCAAAGGATTCTTTCTAGGCGTTCATCTTATGGAGATATTTTGCACAAGTGTCAAACAGTAAATTCCAATGATGAAAAAGAAAACAAAAACTATCTCAATGTCAATTAATAGGGATTGGTTACATAAATTCAAGAAACCCTAGTATGAAGTATTATGCAATTGTTAAAAATGAGGAAACATATACATATATGTGTGTGTGTGTGTGTGTGTGTGTGTGTATATATATATGTTTTGCATTATCATGGGGAAATACCCACATTATACCAAGTGAAAAAGTGAAAAAAGTTACTTCTAAAATCATATGTGTGGGTGTGCCTGGCTGGCTCAGTCAATAGTGCATGCGACTCTTGATCTCGGGGTTGTGGGTTCGAGCCCCACGTTGGGTGTAGAGATTACATAAACAACATAAAAATCTTTAAGAAAAATAATATCGTGTGTGTGTGTGTGTGTGTGTGTGTGTTATACCAGACACATTGTGTGCTATCTTTATGTGGATATACCTTTGGAATGAAGATTTATAGAGAGCCATAGCTTTCATTTTTGTGTTCTATGAATTATTCACCATAAACAAGTATTTCCTCAATCATGAAAGGTGTCATACATTAAAAGAAATACATGGGAAGATTTTTTTTTCATTTTTTAATGTTTTTATTTTTGAGAGAGACACAGAGCATAAGTGGGGGTGGGGGGCAGAGAGAGAGAAGGGGGAGACCACAGAATCCAAAGCAGGCCCCAGGCTCCGAGCTGTCAGCACAGAGCCCGAAGTGGAGCTTGAACCCATGAGCCATGAGATCATGACCTGAGCTGAAGTTGGACACTTAACCGACTGAGCCACCCAGGCGCCCCTAGAAATACATGGGAAGACTTTTAAACATGGTAATAGTTACCACGGATGACATTGGTCAGACGCAGTCCCAGCCGATGCTAGTCAGAATGCCAGTTGCTACAGAACTTCTGGGAAGCCATTGGCACACGTGTCTGGGATCGTTGAAACATGCTTTGACCCCATGACCTCCCTGCCAGGATTTCACTTGGAAACTGGTCAGGTGCTCAGCCAGAGACTTCAGTAGAAGGGATGTTTATAATAAAGTCAAAAACTGGAAACAACCAAAATGTCCCACAGGGGATTGGCTAATTCACTGGCTGGATAAACATACACTATGCAAATCCCCCAAATGTCTGGTGGTTAAGGATTATTTGATGACATGGGTAAATCATGATATTTGAAGATAGGGGCCTGTGATATAAAGTTGAATACATTAGAAGTATGCTAAGTGGCATATTCAGTATACCCCAGATTTATTTTAAGCATTTTATAATATTATAAAGTTTTTAAAGTAGCAGAAATGTATCCAAACAGTTAACAGTTATCTCTGGGGTGCACTGAACTTTGGGTGACATCTGGATTTTCCAGATCTTCTAAACTTTCTGTAGGAAGCATGTATTGGTTTTTATAGTAATAAACATTATTTTAAGAAGGAAATGTTATACATGCAATGTGCTCAATCCCAATAGAAGGACACAGCCTCGCTTCTGAGCCTGACTATGTGGGCTTGAATCCATACTCCCTGAGCTCATGGCTGTGAGGCTCTGGCTACTTCATCTCCCTGTGCCTCAGTGTCCTCACCCACAAAATGGGACGATCGAGCCCCGAACAGGTGGGACTGTTGGAAGAATGAGAACTCATAACATACCAAGGGCTTGGGACGGAAACTGGCACACAGTTAAGTTACCGAAAACACTAGCCATTTGATATGTTTGACATAGGAAAAAATTACGGATGATCAGTGCTGGTAAAAATGTAGTGGAAATGAGTGGAAATGTGGTCCCCATGCCCAGCTTGCCAGGTAGACAAGGTCCAGCTCACTTGGGAAGCAATCTGACAAAACGTTCCAGGAATCAGGAAAATGATTGGAATCTTGCTCCTGTTATTCCCATCCTGGGACTGCGACGTAGAGAAATAATCTTGGAGATGCTCATTATAACATCATTCATAACTGGGAAAAGTGGTGAACAACCTGTCAATCAGGGGCTTAGAACAAAGCCTACACAGGGGAATGGATTTGTAAATCATCTTACACCCACCAATGAAATATCATTAGCCCCAATAATGATGAGTACGAGGTGTCTGTAGTTACAAAGGACAATGTTCATGATATAATAAGGACAAATCAGAGGAGCCAACGTTGTTCCTACACTCTGATCACAATGAAATAACATTTAGTTTTAAATGACATTTGAGGGCGCCTGGCTGGCTCAGTCGGTCAGGTGTCCAGCTTTTGATCAGGTCATGATCTCGCGGTTCAAGGGGGTGTGAGCCCCGCGTCGGACTCTGTGTGCTGACAGCTCGGAGCCTGGAGCCTGCTTCGGATTCTGTGTCTCCTCTCTCTGCCCCTCCCCTGCTCACGCACGGGTACTCTCTCTCTCTCAAAAATAAACATCAAAGAAAAATAAAAATGGCTGTAAATATGTGAAACGTATTCAGTATTTAAGCCAACTGCGGATTTTGCCATGAGATTTGTAGCTTAAAGTTTCAAAGGAAACTAAAATCATCTAGTGTTTACGTTCAGCTGGCTATGTAGCTTGTACTTGAAAGGGTTTATCTTTCCAGCTGTGTTTTTTTTTTCCTTGAATTTTCAGGCTCCGATTTCATGAACGATCAGTAAATTTGAAAAGTTCAAAGAGACCTTATTAAAGATATCAGATGAAGGGGCGCCTAGGCGGCTCAGTTGGTTAAGCGTCCAACTTCAGCTCAGGTCATGATCTCGTGAGTTCGAGCCCCACGTGGGGCTCTGTGCTGACAGCTCAGAGCCCGGAGCCTGCTTCGGATTCTGTGTCTCCCTCTCTCTCTGCCCCGTCCCTGCTCACGCTCTCTCTCTCTCTCGTTCTCTCTCAAAAAGGTATACATTAAAAAAAAGCTATCAGATGAAGTTACATTCCATTACACCACCCTTTGGGGACACTGTAAGGCTAAGAAACAGGAGAGAGGCTGCGATTTTGGGGGGGGGCGCCAAAAACGATCAGAAGCTGTCCCAGCTGGTGACACCCGTGTCATCTTTTTGTAGGAAACAGAGAAACCAACTCTCACAATACGTGGTGTTAGGGTCCCTCTCTGGGAGGGAGGAGGTTCCCGATGATGAAGGCCGAACCGAACCCAGCAGCGGGACCACCAGTCGGCTCCCTTCTCAGGCTCTCTGGCCAGCAGGCACTCTCTGACAATCGGCAAGCTGTGTGCCCCAAGCCAAGGCTTTCTCCAAACCATCGCAGACGTAGGCGTCGTGCACGGTGTGGAGTCTCCGCTGTTCAGTCAGGCGTGGACTCCAGCTGAAGTCCTCCCCGCGTGCCTTACGCACGTGGCGACTGCCACCCGTGTGAACCTTCTGGTGTTGAATCAGGTGTGAAATCTGGGTATAGGTTTTCCCACAGCTGTTACACTCATAGGGCTTCTCCCCGGTGTGAATCCTCTGGTGCTGAATGAGGTGGATGCTCTGGTTGAAGGCTTTGCCGCATTCCTTACAGGCGTAGGGTTTCTCGCCAGTGTGAATCCTCTGGTGCTGAGTGAGGGATGAGTGGTGACCGAACGTTTTCCCACACTCTTCACACTTATAGGGCTTCTCGCCCGTGTGGATTTTCTGATGCTCGATAAGGTGGGTGCTGCGGCTGAAGGCTTTCCCGCACTCCCCGCACTCGTACGGTTTCTCTCCAGTGTGAATCCTCTGGTGTTGGATGAGGTGGGAAATCTGGGTGTAGGCCTTCCCGCACGCCCGGCACTCGTACGGCTTCTCCCCGGTGTGAATCCTCTGGTGGCGTGTCAGCGACGAGTTCTGGCTGAAGGTTTTCCCACAGTCGTTACATTTGTAGGGCTTCTCCCCGGTGTGAATCGTCTGGTGCTGGGTGAAGGACGAGGTGTGACTGAAAGCCTTCCCGCACTCGTCACATACGTAGGGTTTTTCTCCCACGTGAATGCTCTGGTGCCTCATGAGGTGGGAAATCTGCGTGTACGCCTTCCCACACTCGTGACACTCATAGGGCTTCTCGCCGGTGTGAATTCTCTGATGCTGAGTCAGGGAGGAGCTGTGGCCGAAGGCTTTGCCACACGCGTGACACTCATAGGGCTTCTCGCCGGTGTGGACGCGCTGATGCTGGGACAGGGACGAGCTGTGGCTGAAGGTTTTCCCGCACTCGTTACATTTGTAGGGTTTCTCTCCGGTGTGGATGGTCTGGTGCTGGGTCAACGAGGAAGTGTGACAGAAGGCCTTGCCACACTCACCGCATTTGTAGGGCTTCTCCCCCGTGTGGGTTTTCTGGTGGCGGGTGAGGTGGGACACCTGCGAGTAGAACTTCCCGCACTGGTTGCATTTGTAGGGTTTCTCCCCCGTGTGGCAGCGCTGGTGTTTGATGAGGGAGGAGCTCTGGGTGAAGGCCTTCCCGCACTCCTTGCATCTGTAGGGTCTCTCGCCCGTGTGGATCCTCTGGTGCTCGGTAAGCGAGGAGCTCTGGGTGAAGGTCTTGCCGCATTCGCCGCACGCGTACGGCTTCTCTCCCGTGTGAATGACGTGGTGCTGGATGAAATAGGAGCTGTTGCTGAAGGCCTTCCCGCAATCCTCACACTTGTAGGGTTTCTCTCCGGTGTGAATTCTCTGGTGCAGGATGTAGTCTGAGTGGTAAACGAAGGCCTTCCCGCATTCCGCGCAGCTGAATGGCTTCCTCTCTACCAACGTCCTTTGGCGTTTCAGGCTCTTTCTCGGCCCGTCCCTCTGCCGGGCTCTCTCCCCGCCCGGCCCTCTTTGCTTCCGGACGCGGGCGGAGGCCCGCCTGAGGCTTCGCCCGAGCTCGTGACCGCCGAGGCCTCTCTCCCCACAGACGGCTTCCTTGGGAGTAGCCGACAAGCACCTCAAATGCCTCTCCTGCCTTCCCCGGTCCTCCGACCGGAGGCCACACGCCCGGGATCCCCCCAGTCTGGCATCTCCCAGCGCTGCCCTTAAACCGCCCCCCGTCTTTCCCCCTGCGGAAGCGGCCTCTGCAGAAATGCTCTTTTTTACAAGCGTCTCCTGAGTCGGTGCAGACCTCGTCTCCAAGTCTGAAAGAAACAGAAAATGTGAATATTGCCCACGTCGGGACACAGGAAGCTGATTACACGGCACCGGCGCTGGAGACTTTAGAAGACGAGTTTCAGGGACGCCTGGGTGGCTCGGGTGGTGAAACATCTGACTTTGCCTCAGGTCATGATCTCACGGTCCGTGAGTTCGAGCCCCGCGTCGGACTCTGTGCTGACAGCTCGGAGCCTGGAGCCTGTTTCGGATTCTGTGTCTCCCTCTCCCTCTATCCCTCCCCTGCTGGCACCCTGTCTCTCTCTCTCTCTCTCTCTCTCAATAACAAATAAACAGAAAACAATTAACAAAAATGAAAGACAAGTTTCACGGTTTACGTTGCTGTTTCAAAAGACATGACACAGATTCTTGTCGTGGCCTCGAGATACAAAAAGGACTGAGTTGTATAGGTGTATCTACGTGTACACGTGCGTATGCATGTGCATGGTGGACTGGAGGGTTTTCCATTTATCATATTTGCTTTTCGATGTGATAAAACACATACAACATAGAACATGACATCTCAGTCGTTTCTAGGTGTACCGTTTAGTTGCATATATACATTCACGCTGTGGTGCAACCAGCCTCGCCATCCATCTCCAGAACTTTCTCATCTTCCCAAACTGAAACACTATACCCATTAAACACTAACTCCTGTTCCCCCTTCCCCAGCCCCTGGCAAACACCATTCCACTCTGGCTCTACGAATCTGCCCACTCTAGGCACCTCATGTAAGTGGAATCATATGATGTGTATCCTTTTGTGTCCGGTTTATTCATGTTTTTATTATATACTTTTGTAATTAAAAAATACAGTCAAGCTTTTGGGGTAACATGTTAAAAGCAGGGGCACCTGGACGGTTCAGTCGGTTAAGCATCCGACTCTTGATTTCAGCTCACATCGCGATCCCAGGGTCATGGGATCGAGCCCTCCATGATGAACGTGGAGCCTGCTTAAGATCTCTCTCTCTCTCTCTCTCTCTCTCTCTCTCTCTCTCTCTCTCTCTCCCCTGCTTGCACTCTCTCAAAATAAAATAATATAATATAAAATATAAAATAAAATAAAACATGATAAATAATTTTTTGAGAAGTAAGCATGATTATGGGGAGATTTCCATTTCCTGCTTTATTCCTTCCTTAGATTTTCAAAGTTGCTGAGATGAACACAAATAACTTTAATTTGATCAAAAGATACCAATAAATATTCAATGTATGTGAGGCTTTTATAGCCCAACCTCGCAATTTGGAGACAGGGGAGTGTAGAGGAGAGATGATAAGCAGGAAGTAAAGCCATATGGAATCTGCTGAAGGGGATTGATTTTTTTTTTTTTCAACATTTATTTATTTTTGGGACAGAGAGAGACAGAGCATGAACGGGGGAGGGGCAGAGAGAGAGGGAGACACAGAATCGGAAACAGGCTCAGGCTCTGAGCCATCAGCCCAGAGCCTGACGCGGGGATCGAACTCACGGACCGCGAGATCGTGACCTGGCTGAAGTCGGACGCTTAACCGACTGTGCCACCCAGGCGCCCCGAGGGATTGATTTTTTGATGCTAGCAGATTTGTTCATGGGATACCTCTTTAATGCAGTTTTTTAAAATTTTTTCAAGTTTATTTATTTTGAGAGGAAAAGAGAGAGTATGTGTGCGTGAGTGGGGGAGGGGCACAGATAGAATCCCAAAAAGGCTCCGCGCTGCCGGCACAGAGCTTGGTGTGGGGCTCAATCCCACGGACTTCAAGATCACGACCTGAGCTGAGATCGAGTCAGATGCTTTAACCAACTGACCCAGGTGCCCCCATGAGCTACCTATTAATTGTACAGTTGTTACTTACTTGCTAACCACAGTGCTGGGGGTACAGGCCTCTGTGCTGAATGAGACATCTGACCCTTGCCCTCAGAGAGGGGGAGGGGCAGGCTTGCACTTAGACATTTTGGACATACCCTCCTCGTCTCCATAGCATCCCTGCCCTTGAAGAAACACTATTCCCCTTTCCATGCGGTCTTGGTGGGGCTGTTAATCACAGTCTCCCCCACCCCCACTTAGAGTTGGCATGAGACCCAGGCTCACCAATCCGAATACCTGAGTGCCCACCCAGGAGTGCCTGGGTGACTCAGTGAGCTAAGCATCCGACTCTTGGTTTCAGCTCCGGTCATGATCTCACGGTTCATGAGTTTGAGCCCCGCATTGGACTCTGCACTGCAGGTGCGAAGCCTGCTTGGGATTCTCTCTCCTTCTCTCTCTCTCTCTCAATCTCTCTGCCCCTCCCCCACTCACACTCACACATGCGCCTGTGCTCTCTCTCTCAAAATAAACAAACTTAAAAAATATATATTGATTAAAAAAAAAAAACAAACGACGTTCAGACAGGGACAAACAAGTGCTTCAGCGGGGTCAGGACGTGGGGTACAGCCACGGTGGACCGGGATGAGACGTGAGGCCAGAGATACCACAGGCCGGGCCACACGGGGCCTCCAGTTTTGGGCCTGAGGGGCTACGACTTGCTCTCAGGGGTACTAGGGAGCTACGGGGTGGCTGTGCGCAGGGGAGTGGGATCAGCTCTGGGTGCAGGCAGACCCCTCTGGAGCTGTGTGGGATGCGCTGGAGGGCATAAGCCTGAGGGTGGAGGCCGGGGGGAGGCTGTGGTGAGGGGCAGGGGGGCAACCCCACCCACGACACGGTAGACGGAGACAGAAACAAAGACGCTTCAACCCTCATGGAGTCTGTGGGCCAGTGGCGGCAAAAACCCGGCTTCCTGTTGCCCAGCGCATCAGGCCGGGTCCCACTTCTGGGTCTTTATACAGATGCTCCCCAATAAACAATCACCAATAATCATCGTAGCCTGTTCTGACCAGGGGTTACCGTGAGCCAGGCGCTGGGCTACACTTTACGTGTTAATCCGTTTATCCTTTCCAACCCTGGGTACTATTATTCACCCCACTGTGCAGGTGAGGAAACTGAGGCACAGGGGGGCTAAATGACTTGCCAGAAAGTCAGTCACAGAGCCAGGAAGTGGTGTGGCTGGGATTCAAACCCTGCGCCCACGATCATGGCGTGTGCTGCCTCACTCCTGTCACTGATCACGACAGACAGGGGAGGAAGACGGCTTACACCTGCTGGACATCCTCACCCACCTGGACAGGCCATTTGCCAGCCTTCTCTCTTCTCCATACTGGGCTCCACCCCTCGCTCCAGACGGGAGATCACGTCGGGTTTGAACCCTGGAGGCCCTGCCCCTAGAAAAGACACAAGATTTGGCCAGTTATAGGGAGGCCTCAGGGCTGGGTCCCAGGCCCTGGGTGTGCCGGGGAGATGCATACATTGGGTGCTTACTGATTAGAGGTTCTACTGGTCAATGCAAGACTCATTTGTTGAGCGCCTACTACATTCCAGAAAGAGCCTGAGCCCTGGCATCACTGTTTAAGGCTCTGGCTCTGTGTTGTTCAAGTTCGATGTGAAATATGCACCACATTTTGAAGACTTATTATGGAGAAAGATGTAAAACATCTCATTAGTAATTCGTGTATTGGTGATGATTGCCACACATACCAAAATGTTCATATTTTGGACAGATTGGGTGCAATGAACCATATCACTGAAATTAATCTCATCAGTTTCTTTTTACTTTCTTCATGCCGCGATGTTTAAGCTCACTGATTTCTCTCTTCCTATAGGGGGCTGAACAGTGTTCCCCCCAAACTTTGTCCACAGAAACCTCAGAATGTGACCTTACTTGGCAAATCGGGGCTTTGAGGATGTAATTCGTTCAGACGAGGTCCTGCGGGAGTAGGTCGGGTCTTAGGGGATGATGCACAGACACCCTTGGGCAGGGGAAAGGTCATGTGAAGATAGAGGCCAAGATCAGGGTGATGGGGATACAAGGCGAGGAACAGCAAGAGTCACCCGGGACCTCCGGAAGCTGCATCCAGGAAGGACTCCGCCCTGGAGCCTTCAGAAGGAGCAGGACCCTGCCTCTGCCTGGATTTTGCACGTCTGGCTTCTGAACCGTAAGGGAACGAATTTCTTCCGTATTAAGCCACCAGGTCTGCAGTGATCTGTTACACAGCTGTGGGAAACAAACACATCTCCCTACTGACCGTTCCCAGGAGTGGACAAGCTCCCGCCTGAGAAGGCGAGCCTTCCTCCCACTGGAGAAGTGAGGAAGGGAGAGAACGGATGGAGATGAGATCGAGGAGGCCGGCAGGGGCCAGGCCACACGAGGGTCTGAAGCCGCTGAAGGCAGGGCCCAGGACTGGTGGGCGACTGTCCCTGAGATGGGAGGGTGGGCAGACGAGGAGGGGGTCTGTGGGGACGTCGTGAGCTCAGGGGAGGCCACTAGCTGCATCAAGTTGGAGCTCAGGGGACAGACCAATGGGACGTCGTTCTGTACACACGAGTTGTGCAGAAAAGGCTCACACGGCAGGCTGCCTGCCCTTTCTGGAAAGCCCTGCTCACAAGGCTACCCTTGGCTGGCGTTTGGGAAGCTGGATTTCAAGAGGGTTCCCAGTAGTTCCTGATCGACAGGAGAGGCTCCCGGCGCCTCAGCCGTTTGTGCAAACACTGTGGCTTCTGCCCGACACCCGCTTTTCCTTCGGGGAGTCGGGAGCTTGGTCCGTGCCAGGCGGAGGCTGCTGACATGACCAGACCTCAGCGAAACCCTGGGCGCTGACCGGGTCTCTAACGAGTGTCCCCGGTGGACGACACCTCACACGTGTTGACACATCTTGTTGTGACTCAACGGGGAGGGGACTCTGCCCTGGTTGCTGCTAGACTTCGCCCCATGTGCCTTATCCCTTTGCTGCCCGTGCTCTGGAATCTTGGCTGTGAGCACAGCTACATGTGAGGCCTGTGGGTCCTCCGAGAGAACCACCCGAACTTGGGGGCTCTCCTGGGGCCCCGACACAGGTGCTTAAGCGAGTTCTTGGTGACTTTGTCCAGGGAACGTGTGTAAGTGAGGACGGCTGAGGAAGCGGCCTTCAAACCACCATTGCTTCCAGGGAAAAGGCAAGACAGAAGGACCAGAAAAAGAAACTGAGGGGAGAAGGAGGCGGACAGAAAGACCACTGAGGAGGCCAGAGAAGGGCCAGGGGGTGAGGATAAGGCCAGGTCAGGGCTGGACTGCAGGGATGGAGGGGGGGCGATGAGCAAATTGTTGGGGGGCAGAGAGGACGTGGTGGGCTGCTGGGGAGGGGGGTGGGCGGAGTGAGGACGGTCTGGGCTGGGGGATGGGGGGGCCCAGAGGATTGGAGCAGGTCTGTGTGCAGACGCTGAGCTCAGGGTAACAAATGTGAGAGGGACTCGGGCACAGGAGGCGGGTGGGCCGACAGTGTAGGGCCAGGAAGACACATTTGGGGGACAGCATTTACGTGCTTTGGAAAGATTCTAAGATGCAGCCCGATAAACATCCAAGGAGCACTTGGAGTCCGAGATTCTGGAACAGGCATTCCAGGAAAGCGTGAGAAGAAGGTGGGGGCACAGGCTGAAGATTGTGCAGGACAGGTAGAAGACTCGGGGCCCTTGGGGACACTGGGACTCTAGGAGAAGCCAGTGGAGAGAGAGAGGGACAGCCAGAGCCCAGCCAGGAGGCACCAATTAGAGGAACAGAGAGGGAACCACATGACCTCAGCAAATGCCCCCAGTGGGTGGGCACAAAGGAGATGAAGGCAGATGGGGGCAGGGCCTCACCCAGTGAGAGAAGGTTCTGGTAGTTCTCCAACATCACGTCCCGATACAGCTCCCTCTGGCCAGGACCCAGCCAGCCCCACTCCTCCAGGGTGAAGTCCACAGCCACATCCTTGAAGGTCACTGATTCCTGCAAAGGCCAATTTTACAGGGTGGAGAGACCCATCCTTCTAGAACTCTGGGGCTGGAGAGGTCATGGGCCAAGGGCCTACCACTGCTGGTGGCTGAGACAGTTGGAACATTCTAGGCTGGAACATACTGACTCAACTGATTTGAGACGACTGAGTAAAGATGGCCTACAGAGGGTCACCTGGGTGGCTCAGTCGGTTAAGCGTCCGACTTTGGCTCAGGCCATGACTCACACCTCGTGAGTGCGAGCCCCGCGTCGGGCTCTGTGCTGACAGCTCAGAGCCTGGAGCGTGCTTCGAATTCTGTGTCTCCCTCTCTCTCTGTCCCTCCTCCACTCATGCTCTGTTACTCTCTCAAAAATAAACATTAAAAAAAAATTTTTTTTAATTAAAAAAAAAAAAAATGGCCTACAGAAATGCAGAAAGTCTAAGGCAGCTGCTAGCCCAAAGGCACCTTGGAAGAAGACAGACAAAAGCTCCTTTTCTGCGTGACTCTTTACTGCCATCTGTTGGAAAGCTGTTACAATATGCCAATTATTTTAATATATGACAGTTGACTGCCATCTGCGTGAAAATTACCATAAGGGGCACCTGGGTGGCTCAGTCGGTTAAGCGGCCAACTCTTGATTTCATCTCAGGTCACGATCTCCCGGTTTGTGAGTGCGAGCCCTGCATGGAACTCTGTGCTGACAGCCCAGGGCCTGCTTGGGAGTCTCGCTCCCTCTCTCTCTGCCCCTCCCCACTTGCTTTCTCTCTCTCTTTCTCAAAAAAAAAAAAAAAAAAAAAATAATAATAATAATGATAAACACTAATAATAATAAACAAATAAATAAATAAACTGGAAAAAAATTGCCACAATATACCAGTGTGTGAGGTGTGAGATGTGAATCCCGCCACCGAGATGAGGCACCCTTGTGCAGTGTGTAACCTGCATACCTGTATGTGACAACCCTAAGAAACGCTTTTTTTTTTTTTTTAAACTCTCAAGCCATTGTGTACAAGAGCGATTCCTGAGTGGCACTCCATCCCAGACTCAAGCCGGGATCCCAATTCCCATCACCAACTCCAAGGATAAGGCTTGGGGGTGAAGCAAAACCATCCACTGCCCTCTTCATCTGGCAACCCAAAGGCTCCCGGGCTTTAGATGACCGATTTTTAGACTGTGTCCCAGCTCAGGGCATCCTGCCCCCAGGCCCTCTCCTCCCCGCACCTCCCAGCCCCAGAGTCCCTCCCACACTCGCCCCTTCCCCACGATTAGGAGGGGCAGAAGCTCTTCGGGCCACAGGCAGAGATGAGTATGGCTCTCTGAGGGGGCCGTAAAATCATCTTGGGGAAGAGGAAACCCAGACTCACCTGGTCCTCAGCCATCAGGGTACCGGTGGCCACTGCTGGGTCCTGGGCATGTGCCTCCAGGAGAAAGGACCAGGTCTCAGTCCGCAGGGCTGGAGGAGGAGACTGGAGCAGAGAGGGGGTCAGTTGTGGCTCAGACAGACAGACACTCTCCCAAAGATGCCTCATGACAGTGGGGGCCCTGGTCTCCTAAGAGCTGGAGCAAAGGTCAGGACAGGCTGCCTGAGGCTCCCATTCCATACCAGCAACCACTAGCAAACAGGGGGTTCAGCTCCCTGCACTACTTCTCAAAGAAGTAGCTAGAGGGGCACCTGGGTGGCTCAGTCGGTTGAGCGTCCAACTTCGGCTCAGGTCACGAACTCACCGTTCGTGAGTTCGAGCCCCTCGTCAGGTTCTGTGCTGACAGCTCAGAGCCCGGAGCCTGCTTCGGATTCTGTCTCCCCATCTCTCTCTGCCCCTGCCCAGCTCATACTCTGTGTCTCTCTCTCTCAAAAATAAATAAAATATTTTTTAAAATTAAAAAAAAAAAAAAAAAGAAGAAGTGGCTCGACTTATCCCCAGATGAGGAAATAGAGGCACAAGAGGTCAAGGCCCTTGCTCAAGATCGTAGAGGTGTCGAGTGTCAGAGCGGGATTCAGACCCAGAAGTCTGGCTGCAGAGGTCAAGCCCCCTTTTGATCCTGACTCTTTCTCTTACAGTAAAATACACGTAACACACCCTGTACCATTTTAACTACTCTAAATTCTACAATTCAGTGGCATTTAGTATGTTCTCCATGTTGTGTAACATCACTACTATCTGGTTCCAGAACATTTTCATCATCACCCTAAGAGGAAACCGTGCACCGTTAATCAGTGACTCCCAAATCTCCCTGTTCTGTGCTGCCACTCCAAGGTCAGCCCCAGACAACCACTCATCTTTCTGTCATAATGCATTTGCCCATTCTGGACATTTCATAGACATGGAATCGTGTAATATGTGGCCCTTTGTGTCTGGCTTCTTTCGTTTTTTACTTAAAAAAAAATTTTTTTCATGTTTATTTTTGAAAGAGAGAGAAAGAGAGGGCACGAGTGGGGGAGGGGCAGAGAGGGAGACACAGAATCCCAAGGAGGTTCCAGGCTCCAAGCTGTCAGCACACAGCCCGACGCGGGGCTTGAACCCACGAACCTCGAGATCATGACCTGAGCCGAAGTCGGACACTCAACCGACTGAGCCACCCAGGCGCCCCTGGCTTCTTTCATTTAGCCTGTGTTCAGGGTTCATCCATGTTGTACCACGTGATAGGGCTCATTCCTTTTTATGGCCGAGTAGTATTCCATTATATACGGATCTGCCATTTTTTGGAAAGCTGCTACTATCTGTCTTATCAATCCCGCATGAGGATCCTGATCTCCTGCTGAAGATGTTGTTTAAAGAGGGGCGCCTGAGTGGCTCAGTCGGTTAAGCATCCAACTCTTGGTTTCGGCTCAGGTCATGATCTCTCGGTTTGTGAGATCAAGCCCCATATCTGGCTCTGTACTGAGCGTGGAGCCTGCTTGGGATCTCTCTCACTCATTCTCTCTCTCTCTCTCTCTCTCTCTCTCTCTCTCAAAACTGCTGAAATAAAGTTTAAAAATCCCCAGGGCACCTGGGTGGCTCAGTCGGTTAAGTGTCCGACTCTTGGTTCTGGCTCCAGTCACGATCTCATGGCTTTGCGGGTTCAGGCCCCATGTTGGGCTCCACGCTGACATTGAGGGGGGACTTGCTTTGGATTCCCTTTCCCTCTCTCTCTGCCCCTCCCCCACTTGTGCGCACCTGCTCTCTCTCTCTCTCAAAAATTAAAATGAAATTAAGATTATAAAGCTTCAAACTGATACAGCCACTCTGGAAAATAGTATGGAGTTTCCTCAAAAAACTAAAAATAGAACTACCCTACGACCCAGCAATTGCACTACTAGGCATTTATCCAAGAGATACATACAGCTGTGCTGTTTCGAAGGGACACGTGCACCCCCATGTTTATAGCAGCACCATCAACAATAGCCAAAGTATGGAAAGAGCCCTAATGTCCATCGATGGATGAATGGATAAAGATGTGGTATATATATACAATGGAGTATTACTCGGCAATCAAAAAGAATGAAATCTTGCCATTTGCAACTGGAGGGTATTATGCTAAGTGAAATTAGTCAGAGAAAGAGAAAAATCATATGACTTCACTCATATGAGGACTTTAAGAGACAAAACAGATGAACACAGGGAAGGGAAACAAAAATAATATAAAAACAGGGAGGGGGACAAAACAGAAGAGACTCATAAATCTGGAGAACAAACTGAGGGTTGCTGGAGGGGGTGTGGGAGGGGGGATGGGCTAAATGGGTAAGGGGCACTAAGGAATCTACTCCTGAAATCATTGTTGCGCTAGATGCTAACTGATTTCTATGTAAATTAAAAAAAAAATTTTTTTTTAAGATTATAAAGCTTAAAAATCCCTCCCCCCAAAAATATCTCTGCCAAAGACAAGTTGGTGTTCAGACTATGGTCACCTCCACTCATTCATCAAATACGCTCTGGGACTCATGTGAGGGTGACATACTCATCGGAGGACAGAACGATGGGTGACGTGCGGCTCTGCCCTAAAGGGGCTCCTTGCCCGGTGGGGGAGGCAGGCCTGGACATAGACCAGGTGGTGAGCTGAATGGTGGCCCTAAAAAGATATCTTGTAGGATGGACCCGTGATGTGATTAAGTTAAGCACCTTTAGATAGGCAGATTATCCTGGATCATCCGGGTTGGGTCCTAGGTGCAATCCTAAGTGTCCTGATAAGAGGGAGACAGAGGGATATTTGACTCAGAGGAGAAGGCCACGTGAGGCAAGTCAAGAGAAGCAGAGTCAGAGAGAGAAGACGCTCTCCCTCCAGCTTTGAAGCCGGAGGAAGAGGCCTCACCTAACGAACGCGGAAGCCTCTAGAGGCTGGAAAAGGCAAGGAAACGGATTGTCCGCTAGAGCCTTCAGAGGGAGCACCACTCTGACCCCCTGAACTGTAAGAGAACAGATCTGTGTTGTTGGAAGCCACCAAATTCGTGGTAAATTGTTAGGGCAGCAACGGGCAACTGATACAGTCTAGAAACAAAAAGACTCAATCTCATGTGTTTCCAGGCAAACGCCTCACTACACCCGGTGACACAGGGGCGCACGCAGCTCAGGCTGAAACCAGTAGGTGAAATCCTGATTCGGAACAGAGTCTTACAGGCTCTCCCGTATCTCCTCACAAGTCAATAATTACAAAAAAGAAAGGGCTCCTGGGTGGCCCGACCAGTTAAGCCTCCAATTCTTGATTTCGCCTCAAGTCATGATCTCACAGTTTGTGGGATCGAGCCCCTCGTCTGGCTCTGTGTGGACAGCATGGAGCCTGCTTGGGATTCTCTCTCTCCCTCTCTCAAAAATAAATAAGGTATTCCTGCCTAAGGTATTCCTGCCAAACCGAAATCTAATCACAAGGAAACACTGAGCAAAGCCAAACTAAAAGACATTCCAGAAGAACCTGGCCCATAATCCTCAGCATTGCACAGATCATCAAGACCAAAGAAAGACTGAAAAACTAACTGTTCTAGAGACCTACTACCTAACGCGGTGTGTGATATGGGATTTTCTTTTGCCATCGAGTACGTTATTGGGACAATTAGCAGCATCGGAAGGTCTGTGGATTAGCTAATAGTTTGTACCGATGTTACTGTCCTGATGAGATCACGGTGCTGCGGTTTTGGAAGAAAATGGCCTTGTTTCTAGAAAAAACAAACAAACAAAACCAAAACACAGACTCCTGAGGAAGGGGGCTGTGCAGAGACACAAAGAGAGGGGGGCTGAATGGGGGTTGGGGTGGGGGGCAGGGAGATCAGAAAGTGATGAGAGACCCAGATAACACGCTCAGGATAAGGAGGACAGAAGCGGAGGGCGTGACTGTGCGGAGCACGCGGAGGCTTTCGGGTCAGACATCCCAGGGTGTGATCCCAGGCCGACCCCTGGGACCTGGGAGAAGCCGCAGAGTCTGTTTCTTGACCTGCAGAGTGAGGAAACGTATAGGATCCCTTCGGGGAGCCCGCGCTCGCCTGACTTCAGGCAAACAGCAGGCGCCCAATTCCTACGCGCTGAGATCCTCCAAGCGGCGCGGGGGGCAGAGGCGCCCGGGGGCGCCCTCCAGAGTGATAGGAGGGGGCGGGACGCCGCCCACAGCGCCCACCCAGGCACGACTAGGACCCGCCTCTGAGTGCCCGCCAGCCTGCCTGGCACAGCCCGCACCCACCAGCTCAGACTCCGGGCCACCAGGTCGGGACTCACCTGTGCGCCCCCGTGGGTGGCGCTGGACGGCCAGGCCTTTACCCTCCCTCTGGCGGGCCGCGGAATGCGCCTGCGCGGTTGCGGTCTCGGAACTATTTAAACCTTGGGTCTTTAAACGCGGCTTCGCAGTTGGACTACATTTCCCAGGAACCTCTGCGGGTTCACCCTCCTCCAGACCTAAGGTCTCTACGGGCGGGGGAATGCTGGGAAATGGAGGCTGGAAGTACGATGCAGGGCCGGGGGGAACCCGGTACTGAGAAGTATCTGGCTGTACTGACACCGTCAGTAATATTCTCATTTTAGCTAGAGTCTTTTAACTGCCCTCCACAGGAGGTGACGTCAAAGTCCATTTAACCCATTTAACCCAAGTTTCCCCTGTAGCTGAAGTCCACAGGACACGTGGAAGTTCACCCCATCTAAACTGATGGTGAATGAATTGAGTCTGTCACTGAATTACGCAATATCCCTGGGCATCCGCTCCCTGTTTGCCTCAGTGTCACCTGTCACCTAATACCTCTATAAGAAATAGACCCCTACGGTGGGAGCTGGAAGATGTGTGTCCAGGAATGCAAGGATGGTTCGATATTGGGCTATTATATAATTTGCTAATTGATATACAATGTAATATATAATCATGGATATGAAAGAGGTTTTGAGAATGTTCAGTAGTCATCCATTTCTACATAAACTTAATATATTTAAGAATGGGCCCATCTTGAACAGTAATGACAAAAATCTTAAGGAGTTACTTGTCTCTCCCTTGTTTTTAATTATATACATATAATCAAAACCCAAAATCAGGCGTAATGCTAAAACACCAAAAGCTTCCCCGTGAAAGTCAGAACAAACTGTCCGTCCAAAGAGAACAAACCATCCAGCATTACCACTTTTGGAAAAACTATCGGTGCAGTTAGACAAGAGAAAGAAAGGGTATATAATTGGAATGGAGAAGTCTGGAATTTCACCCTTCTTTGAATATGATATGATTGCTATTTTGGAAATCAGAGAATCTATTGAAATGTTATGATAAACCATAAAATAATTAAGTAAAATTACTGGGTACAAACTTAATCAATAAAAACCAATAGGTTGGGGCGCCTGGGTGGCTCAGTCGGTTGAGCGCCTGACTTTGGCTCAGGTCATGATCTCGCAGTCTGTGAGATCGAGCCCCGCATCAGGCTCTGTGTTGACAGTTCAGAGCCTGGAGCCTCCTTTGGATTCTGTGTCTCCTTCTTTCTCTGCCCCCACCCCTCCACTCTCTGTCTGTCTCTCTCCCTCAAAAATAAATAAACATTTTTAAAAAACACAATAGTTTTTCTCTTTTCAAACAAGAATGATGAAAACTCTAATGGAAAAAAAGGGGGGGTGGGTATTTGGATTTTAGTGCCAATAAAATTTGCCTGATAGATTTTAATCTCTTTGTGATCTGGGGAAGTTCTCTTGCACTCTCTGCACCTAGGTTTTCTTTGCTATAATCCCTCATTAGGATAATGTGTGGCAAATAGCTCTTCCTCAAAGCCTTTTCCCTACTTTCTGTGCACACAGCTAGACTACATTTCCCATATGCCCTTGCAGTCGGGGTGGTCACGTGACTAAGTTCTGGCTAATGAAATGAGAGAAGAGACACGTATGCCATGCCCAGACCTCCCACTTGTTACCTTCCCCAGTCTTTCTTCTTCTGCTGAAGTCTTATGTGAAGATGGGAGGAGCCTAGGTCCCTGAATTGTCACTTGGAGGGGGCCATCTCCAATCAGAACCAACTAATAAAAAGTTATTTTCAGTTATATAGACTCAGGGCAGTGATTAAATAAAGGTATATCCCGCCTATGAAATGTTGTCAAGCCTGAAATAATTATGATGACTGCACGGTAACGTGGGGCGACACTTGCAAATGAAGGTTAAAAGAAGAAAAATCTCAAAGTTATAGATCCTTCATGTTTGTAAAGATGTAAAATATATGTGTACACATGAGTAAAAGTTAGATGAACCATGGGCAAAACGGAAGAATAGCTGTCACTTACTGACAACAGGCAGTGAGTTTTATTAGCTTATTTAACTCATACAACCACCCCGTGAAGATGTGTCAAACAGCCCCAGAGAGACCTTTGCAGCCCCAACACTCAAAGACCCAACGAGTGACAGAGAGTCCAGTGAAGCCCCTCTTCTTACTGCCAGACTCCTCAGTTCTGCTGCCCTCTCCCTGCCCATGAACTTGGTCCCGGCTCAAGCCTTGTGCTCACATCCTAAAACTTCACTGCGGTCTCATCCCAATCCTCCTGGCCCCCCAGTGTCTCCCCTCCAGGCTCGTTCACACACAGCCCCCAGAATGGTCTTTCTGCACCCAGAGCAGACCCAGCCCTTCCTCCGCCCTCTGTATCTGAAGTTACGTGAGCCTGGAGTCTGCCTTGCTTTGCTTCATGACATTCTATCTTAGCTCAGACAGCCATCACAAAATACCATAGACTGAATGACTTAACAGAAATTTATGGTTTTTCCTTGGTACAGGAGCATGTGGAGAGAGAGCTCTGGTGTCTCGTCCTCTTTTTACATGGACATTAGCCCTACTTCTGTCCTTAACTAGCTCTGGGCCTTGTATGGGTTACTTGAATCCTCCCTGTAGGTATCCTTGTCTCTAAAGTGGGGGAGCAATGCCTCCTTCACTGGGTGGTCATGCAAGTTAAATGAGCTCAATGACATATGTCACTTTCATCTGCATTTCATTGGCTGATGCAAGTAGCACGGTTGCAATGGAGTTCATATAGCAATCCCAGGGAAGGGTCCTGATTGGTCCTTCTTGGATCTTGGGCCCACCCCTTGGACCAATCACTATTGCTAGGATTAGGATACAGGATAAAGACATGGTTACGGGTAGTTAGGACCTAGTGTAATAATATGTGTGCTTGATGGGAGATAGCCCAGGGCAACGTATGAACACAGAGGAGGGCCTTCAACCCAGTCTGGACAATCACGGAGGACTTTTGGAGGAGGTCTCAACTTGGCTGTAACTTGGAAGACAAGAACTAATGGGCGAAGAGACATAAATGTGACCAATGAAGGCAGAGAATGAGGTGGGTTGTTCCAAGCAAAGGGAACACAGCGAACAGAAGCCTAGAGGGGAGAAAGAGATATAAGGAGCTCTTTGTGGCTGGCATGCAAGGGTGGGATGTGGGAGTGTGCTATAATTGAATGCTTGTGTCCCCCCAAATTCGTATATTGAACCCTAACCCTCAATTGATTTTACTTAGAGGTAGGGCATTTGGGGAAGTAATTAAGATCAAATGAGGTCAAAAGGGTAGGGCCTTGGTCCAATAGGATTTGATGTTGTATAGAAGTCAATCAGCACAGTGCTTTGCAGGTAGTAAGGGATCAATTACTCTAGGACCCCGGGGCAAGGGACACACAGCATAATGGTTAACCCCACGTATTCGTTGTGTAACACTGAAAGTCATCAACCTCTCTATACCTCCGTTCCCCTATTGTATATGGGGAGATAATAATTACCTTAATAAATAAATGAGATTTGAATCGGTTGATATAAGTAAAGCCATTGAAACAGAATGTTACAGGGACGCCTGGGTGGTTCATTCTGTTAAATGTTGGACTCTTTATTTCAGCTAAGGGCATGATTTCACAGTTCGTGGGTTTGACCCCTGCATCAGGCTCTGCACTGACAACACGGAGCCTGCTTGGGATTCTTTCTCTCTCGCCGCCCCCCCCCCCCCCGTCCTTCCCCCTCCCGTTTGCTCTGTCTCTCTCTCAAAAATAAATAGGGGGGCCCGGGTGGCTCCTTGGTGAAGCGTCTGGCTCAGGTCATGACCTCGCGTTTCTTGAGTTTGAGCCCTGCATCAGGCTCTGTGCTGACTCTGCCCAGCCTGCTTTGGATCCTCCGTCTCCCTCTCTCTCTGCCCCTCCCCTGCTCTCACTCTCTCTCTTAAAAATAAACATAAACAAACAAACACTTAAAAACCAGTATGTTACAGACACCACCACCTTCATGTTTGCCATCAATATTATCAACATTAAATATTATCTTTAAAAGGTATTAATACCTTTTAAAAGGTCCGACCTCTTGACCTTTGTGTGCGCTGTTCCCTCTGTCAGGAACGTTCTTTCTATCTCTCTTGGAAAACGGCGGATACCTGCAACAAGCTGTTACAGCCATTCCTATGGGAACGTTTCCCCTCTCCCCACCCAGCCCGACGGGAGCTCGCAACTCTGCTCGCTCCAGGGATTCCACAGGACCGTCCCAGTAAACCTAGCGCTGATATTATAATAATTTGTGCTGTTATCATTTGATAACTGTCTCTCCCGCCCCAGACTGTGCTCTCCTGGAGCATTCATCACACTATAATTTCTGCACAATTTAATTATCCGTTTATTGTGCACTGTTGCGAGGAAGGTAAGGGAGTACCTGGATTTGTAGAGTGAACAACACTGCCAACTTAAGACTCCCCGGCTAGAGCCTTCGCCGGAGTGCGCTTGGGTCAGGACACCAGCTTACGAAATGAACGCGAGGTCGAGTATCTTTGACTTCTCTGCTGTAGCCCTGCTCCCCCAGCCACCCCCTCCGCCAGGGCGCTTGGTGAGGGTGACGTCATGCGTGCCCGGAGCGACGTCACCAAGGCGACCAGGATCCGTTGCCTTAGGAGAAGTGCGCCTGCGCCGGCGGGGGGGGGCGGGGAGAGGGAGAGGAGGCCGGAAACTACCATTTCCAGAATCCTTTGGGTTGGAGCTTCTGCTCCACCTCTCCCAAACGTCCCCATTCCAAGCGCTCTCTACTGAGCATGTGCCAAAATTGGTATCTTGGCAACGGATTGCTGGAGTCCGGCTCTTTAAAAGCACACTCTCCTACCTTTTACTGTAGTGGATTGGTAGTATCTATGGCAACGGATGTGGTTGTGGGGGCGGAGAGGATTCTGGGAAATGTGGTTCATTAGAGTCCCACGAGCTAGTTCTACACTTAAAACTTCGTTCGCCAATCTCTAGCATAAAAATATAAGCAACACTCAGCCCCCCATGTTTCCCTGTCACCTCATAATGGTAACAAAACGTGTCTTGGGTTGGGATTCAGTTTCTGAAAAAATTAGTTGCCCACACTGCTTATGGAGTGATTTCACCTTATAAAAAATCTATCTGGGTTCTCTTGAAAACTCGGAAGATCTGGGGCACCTAGGTGGTTCAGCCGGTTAAGCCTCCAACTCTTGATTTCCGCTCAGGTCATGAGATCCGCTGAAGCTTCGTGAGATTGAGCCCCATGTTGGGCTGTGCGCCTGACAGCATGGAGCCTGCCTGGGATTCTCTCTCTCTCCTCTCTCTCTCTCTCTCTCTCTCTCTCTCTCTGACCCTCCTCTGCTCGCTTGCTCTCTCAAAATAAATACTAAAAAAAAAAAAAAAGAAAAAGAAAGAAAGAAAGAAAGAAAGAAAGACCTCTGAAGATCTGAAAACACTGAGCTGTTATTTCACAGCAGCCACAATGGAATGGAGCTGAGCACTTTTCTATCCTCTATGAATGTGACCTGCCGTGTTAACTTTATCTTCCTCGACCCAAACAATATTTGGGGTTCCAATCCCAGAACCTGAGGAAAGCCACCAAGCTCTTTTCCCTGGCATGTAAAGGCCCTCAGTGTACGGATCAATATAGTTTTTGCTTCCTCCTCTTCCCCCTCAACACTATTCTCCTCATTTACTCAACATATATTTACTGAGAGCCTGCTCTGGGCCAAGCATTGTGCTGGGCACTGAAGCTTCAACTGGCCTTTCTTATCAACCCCTATCCCTCCCACCAAACACCCTCATTATCCAAATCCTGAATGAGATAGCAATAGTTTTCCTAGTAAGTTCAGAAACATAAGGACACTATATTATCCAAATGTCTTTGCTTCCTACTTTGGTTAGCAAAAGCAAGAGTTCAGACAGCAAAAGATTTACATGAAAATTGATCTGAATCTATTCAGGGACACAGAGGGTGAAAACTGAACAGTTCAGATAGGGAGCGGAACCTGTATTCTCTATATTGACCACGGCTGTTCTTTTGCCAGACCATCCTTGAGGGTCCCACTAGGACGCATTCCTCCCCAGAGTAGGAATGGTTGTCTTTTGAAGTCCTCATCATGGGCCGCCCATGCCTCTCGAAGGTCCAAATCACTCCTGCTTTGATGTAGGGTAATTGGTACCTACAGATGAGTGAGACCTGGCCCCAACCCTTGGGGAGCACCCAGTTGGTGAGTCCTCCAGAAACGGACAGAGACGTTAAGGAATTTGCCATAGACTTTATTAAACTTCTTTTCCTTTCCCCTTACAAACTCCCAAGCCGCCCTACTGCAGGAGGAGTTTTCGGTTTTGCCTGTAAGTAACAGCCCTGGTCAGAGAGAAAAAGTCTGGAGGTTACAAACAGAACTTCAGGTCCCTCCAGGTCAACCGTCCCCCACCCCAAAACTTCCCTCCAATCATCAGCCTTATTTGGTGACATCATGGGTATCTGGGCGGATTTCTAGGGTTCTCAGCCAATCAGTGTTGGTACAGGAGGAGGGAGGAGAGAAAATTTGGGACAGGAGGTGAGGGTAAAATGTGGAAACAGAAAGAGTGGGCAAGACCAGAGGAGACTCTGAGAAACACAGACACAGGGCGAGACTCACAGAGAAGGGAAAGACAGAAGACAACGAGGAAGAGACAGAAGCAGGTGCGCCGAGTTGAAGTGTGTCCCCACGCAAGATATACCCAAAACCTAATCCCCACGACCTCCAAATGTGACCCCATTTGAAAATAGGGTCTTTGGGGCGCCTGGGTGGCTCAGTCGGTTAAGCGTCCGACTTCAGCTCACATCACGATCTCACAGTCCGTGAGTTCGAGCCCCGCGTTGGGCTCTGGGCTGATGGCTCAGAGCCTGGAACCTGCTTCGGATTCTGTGTCTCCCTCTCTCTCTGCCCCTCCCCCGTTCATGCTCTATCTCTCTCTGTCTCAAAAATAAATAAACGTTAAAAAAATTAAAAAAAAAAAGAAAATAGGGTCTTTGTGGATGTAATTAAATTAAGGTAAAATGAGGTCATTCTGGATTTAGGCTGGACCCTCCATTCATTCAAAGACTGGTTGTCCTCACAGGAGAAGGGGAGGGCGACACAGAAGGAGAGGCCAAAGCCATCTGAAGATGGGGGGGGGGGGGTGTGTGGAGGGAAGCCAAGGAATTACCAAGGATGCCAGAGGGGTGAGACAAAACTTGGGCAAGAGGCTGGGGCTGGGGGGGGGGGGTGGCGGAGAAACAAGATTCAAGGCAGAATGGGAAATCCAGAGATGTGAAAAGGAAACACAGAGCAAGACAGAAATGAAGACTGAGTGAAGACAGCGGGAGAGGTTCAAACCTGGGGGAAGGGGAGAGAGAGGTGGGGAAGGGGCTGGAGAAAGAGAGGGGAGATGGGAGGGGAAGGGAGGTGGCAACAGTGAGGGAGATTTAAGGAAGCCCGAGAGAGCTGACAGGGCGACAGTCTGCAAGGCAGATGGGATGGGAGCCAGAGACCCAGAGACAGGGAGAGACATTCATAGACAGAGGCAGAAAGAGACTGAGAGGCACAGATTCAACGTGGGGGGCCCGGGGTGGAGAAAACCACGTGGGAGAGGCAGAGAGAGGGAGGGAGGGAGAAGGGGACACGGAACAAGGTCACGGTGAGAGCTGACACTCATGGCTTAACTCTCCTCGCCAGGTGCTGGGGAGACGAGGGGGAGGGGCAGGAGGGGGAGGCAGAGACTGACAGAAAAGGTGCCGGAGAGAAGAGGAGAGGGGCTGGGGGGGGGGGGGGCGACAGGAAGGCCAAGGTGAGGGAGTCGCTCAGAAGGGCAGAGAGGAGGGCGAGGGCCTCTTCTCCCCTGGGCCCACGGGCTCAGTGCTTGGAGCCTCTGGAAATGTAACCACTTTGCAAGGCAGGAGAAAACAAATTAACACAACAATAAGTATAAAGAATATATAACAACGAATTCAGCTCGGATGACACCTGTCTTCATACCAGCACATTCACAGAATACAATGTTTAATACACACACACACACACACACACACACACACACACACACGTATATATATAATATATATATCAGGTCATGATCTCACAGTTCGTCGGTTCGAGCCCCCAACTGTGCTGACAGCGCAGAGCCTGGAGCCTGCTTCACGTTCTGTGTCTCCCTCTCTCTGGGCCCCTCCCCCGCTCGTGCTTTGTCTCTTTCTCTCTCTCTCAAAAATAAAAGAAAACGTTAAAAAAATAATAAAGTGAGCGCACAGGGGACTCCCAAATGACAGAGGGACTGAGCCAGGGCAGCGCCGTTTTTGAGGGGCCCAGTGGGGCATTTGGAGGCCTCAGGAGAAGGCCGGGATGACTTACGAAGCCACGATGACGCCAAAGGCAAGGACAGCCAGGAACACGGAGATGGTGGCCCCAAACAGCACCTGCTGCTGCTGGTATCCACTCCCCTTCTCATACTGCAGGCTCATGCGGGGCTGCCTGTCAACTGGTGGGTGGGGTGGGGAGACAACCTTGACTTCCAAGTCATCGCCCTTCCTTGGCCTTGCACCTACACGCACCTGCCTCCCCGGCAACCTGAGCCTCCCTCTCCCTCCTCCCTCCCCATCCCCTGCCCTCTCCCGGGGTCCGACGCCAAGGCACCCATTCCTCAAATTCTGTGCCCAGGCGCCGTCCTAGGTGCTCTGGATACTGCCGCGCACCCCACCAGTATACATCCCTGCCCTCACGGCACCGACTGTCTATACGGCACATCACAGGGACCGCCGAGAGTCTAGCGCTAAGACAGTCGTCTGCATCTTAGCTGGGGACCCTGAAGATCCTTGGGAGTCCCATTCTGCATCTTTCAATTGTCCCTCCCACCCCACCCCCCCGCCTTTCATTCTGCCAGCAGAGCTTCTTGGCCTCACCTTCGGAGTGGATCCAGAGTCTGATCCACCTCCGGGGCTCCCGACCTGGTCCAGCCCCCATCAAAGCGCCTCTCCTGGTTCCCGCTTCTCCTCACCCTACAGTTCCCCACATGGCCCCCAGAGGGCGCCCATTAACACCTAAGCCCTCTCACTTCCCTCTTCCCTCAGAGCTTTCCCTGAGGTCGCCTCTCGTTCAGAATAAAAGCCCAAGTCGTCACCATGGTCCACCAGACAATCTGGTCACCATGGGACTAGCTAGCTACTACCCCCATCTTCACTCGTTAGCTTCCTTCTTGTTGTTCAACCACGTTGCTCAACCAGGATCATTGCACCTGCTGTTCCCTCCCTCATTCACACTGTTCCTTACTCCCTCACTTCCTCTACATCTCAAACACCACTTCTTCAGAGAGGTCCTGCCACTTGCACCCTCCAAAGAAGCATCCCCCCACCCCACGCCCCACCCCCCAGGCACTTTCTATCAAATGGTTCTGTTTTCATTAGGGCACATTTGCTATCTGAAATTAATCCATTTATCCCTTCATATAATTGTCTAGCAGTGGCTCTCAGCTGGGGACAATTTTGTGCCCCAGGGGACATTTGGAAATGTATGGAGACTGGAAATGATTGTTAGGACTTTGGTGGGGCGGCAGGGGGGGTGTACTATTGGCATCTGGCTGGGGAAAGACTAAGGGTGCTGTTGAACATCCTACATCCACAGGACAGCCCTTATGACAAAGAATTTTCTAGCTCCAACTGTGTGTAGTGCCAAGGCTGAGAAACCCTAGTTAACCCTTCACCCCATTAAAATGTGGGCAATACGAGACACTTGTCTCTGTTCTGCTGATCCTCGGTTTGGGGGCATTACAGGGTACTGGTAATATCTGTTGTAGTTAACCACCATTCTAAAGAAGCAAATGGACAAATCCCTTCTTTCCAAATGGTCAGTGTCATGGGGCGGGGGGGTGGGTGGGGATTGACAAGAGAAACTCTTCTAAATTAAAAAAAAGAAGAAGTGGGGGGGGGCATCTGGGTGTCTCAGTCGGATAACATCCAACTTGGGCTCAGGACATGATCTCAACAGTACGTGAGTTCGAGCCCTGCATCGGGCTCTGTGCCGACAGCTAGGCGCCTGGAGCCTGCTTTGGATTCTGAGTCTCCCTCTCTCTCTTTCTGCCCCCCCCCCAAAAATAATATATAAACATTTGTAAAAAATAAAATAAAATAAAATAAAATAAAATAAAATAAAATAAAATAGGGGCCCCCGGGTGGCTTAGTCGGTTAAGCGGCTGACTTCAGCTCAGGTCATGATCTCGTGGTTCATGGGTTCAAGCCCCGCATCGGGCTCTGTGCTGACGGCTCAGAGCCTGGAGCCTGTTTCGGATTCTGTGTGTGTCTCTCTCTCTCTGACCCTCCCCTGTTCATGCTCTGTCTCTCTCTGTCTCAAAAAATCAATAAAAGTTAAAAAAAATTTTTTTAAAAAGAAGTGGAAAAAAACTGTAATTGAACAGTATGAGAAGTCCTTTCATTGGGTCCTGGTTGGAAATAATTAGCTGTGAAAGATATTCTGGGAACAATTAGGGAGGTTGCAAAAGGGACCCAGAGTCACTTGATATTTAACAATTGTTGCTAGGTGTTTTGGGTATGAGAATGGCATTGTAGTTTCATAGGAAACGTCCTTATTTTTTAGAGGTGCACACTATGGGTGAAATCTCACAATGCTTGAATACTTTCAAAATGCCATGGCAGCGGGGCACCTGGCTGGCTCAGTTGGCAGAGCATGTGACTCTTGATCTTGGGGACATGAGTTTGAGCCCCACGTTGGGCATAGAGATTATGTTTTTAAAAATACCACAGCTATAAATAAAGTGAAACAAATATAGAGGAATGTCCATCGTCAACATAATTTGATAGGAAGTGCTCCTTTAGAGGGTGTGATCAGGGAGTCCTGTTTGAGGTGGTGAACTTGGAGACTTTATTGAAATGAGGGAGTAAGAGGAATAGTGTGACAGAGAGGGAACAGCATGTGAAAAGTTCCAGCATGATTATTCAAGCTTGATGGGTATATAGGGGCTCACTGTACTATTCTCTCTGCCAGAAAGATACATTTAAAAAATCTCTGAATGATGGGGCGCCTGGGTGGCGCAGTCGGTTAAGCGTCCGACTTCAGCCAGGTCACGATCTCGCGGTCCGTGAGTTCGAGCCCCGCGTCGGGCTCTGGGCTGATGGCTCAGAGCCTGGAGCCTGTTTCTGATTCTGTGTCTCCCTCTCTCTCTGCCCCTCCCCCGTTCATGCTCTGTCTCTCTCTGTCCCAAAAATAAATAAACTTTGAAAAAAAAAAAATCTCTGAATGAATGAATGAGTGAGTGAGTGAATTCAGCAGATCCTCTGGACTCCCCAGGTATGGCACTGGCTAAGAATGTTTTTCTAGAATGCCATCTGGCAGTAGAGACATTTTTTTTTTTAATGTTTATTTTTGAGACAGAGCATGAATGGGGGAGGAGCAGACAGAGAGAGGGACACACAGAATCCGAAGCTGGCTCCAGGCTCTGAGCTATCAGCACAGAGCCCGACGCGGGGCTCGAACTCACGGACCGCGAGATCGTGACTTGAGCCGAAGTCGGACGCTTAACCGACTGAGCCACCCAGGTGCCCCGAGACATTTTAAAGTTACAGGTGTCTGACTGGCCCAGTCAGTGGAGCATATGACTCTTGATCTCAGGTTGTGAGTTCAGGCCCCACGTTGGGTGTAGAGATTACTCAAAAAAATATTTTAAAAGTCGTTTAAGAAAAGAATAAATAAAGATAAAGTTACAGTGGGGTCTTCCTTATTTCACAGTGGGGGAACGCAAATTTCGGAATGTGGAAGCGACATCTGGGCCACTGTAAGCAGGTGGTGAGTGCAGGACTGAAGGCTCCCTGTGGGAGAACTCAAAACCCATTATCTGCGGGGTCACGGCTGTCTTCACCTCTCATGCATCCCTGTCTCCCCCACCCCCCAGGAGCTTACCAAAACAGTACTTTTTTTGGATACAGCTGGGACTGATCTTCTGGCAATGTAAACAGTCCAAGACTTCCTCTTTTAGCAAGTCTGGGCAGGAGGGAAGGGAGAAGTAGGGTGAGGGCAGGTATCAGAGGAATGGCAAAGAGCAGGAAGGCAGAGGGGAAAGAGGGCATGACATCCCTTGGCTCTCCTGGATTTGGAGGGTCCACGTGCAGCCAAGCAAGCTGAGCACAATGCACCGATTCGCATTAAAAATAAATTTTACAGGGGCGCCTGGGTGGCGCAGTCGGTTAAGCGTCCGACTTCAGCCAGGTCACGATCTCGCGGTCCGTGGGTTCGAGCCCCGCGTCAGGCTCTGGGCTGATGGCTCGGAGCCTGGAGCCTGTTTCCGATTCTGTGTCTCCCTCTCTCTCTGCC